TTTTAGGTAGCACAGTAAGCTTTTGATTTATTCAGTACTGGTTTTCCTTCCTCTCTCCTTACAGAAATCTGGATGTAAGAGAAAACTGAATGATTTCTCAGTGGTTGTGTTTAATTGGTAGACTTCAAGACATTTGTTACGCTGAGATGCACAGGAAATTCAATCTCTCATCCGTAGATACAGATTTAGATAAATGTATCTAAACTAGAATAAGAATTTTACATAGAGTAATCTTTTTTGAAAAAACTATAGCTAAATTAATTTTGATCAGTGTATGGTAAGCCAAATTCTGCCCATGGATACCTCTTTGGAAGCTCCTATGACTTCTTTTCTAGTATTGCAGTTCGGTGAGGATAGAGCTTGGTTTTAAATAATTAAGAAGGGCAGAGATCTCTCACATCTGATGTCAAAAGTAAGGGAAAATTCTTCTTTCTGAAGATGAATTCCCCAAACTAAAATCACCATCTCAACATTGCTTTAATCAAAGCATTTATTATTTTAAGCTGCAGGGTGAAGTTATCTGTCTTTCACTGCCAGAAACATGAATATAGCTGAACTTGTGGCCTCTTACTATGTGTGCTTGTGACATCCAAACTGCATCAGATGTCTCAAATGTGTTAGAGTTTGTGTAAACTTAGTTTGCTTCATTTCATTATTTCCTATGAAGACTAGTATTTCCAGAAGTTTTCCAAGCTGGTTCACAACTGACACCCAGCTAGCAATGACTCTGCATCCTTTAGGATGGCTGCAGTTCTTCTGTACTTTAAAAGAAACTTAGGCCATTCAGGTAAGATTGAATTGAAAGACAAAAAAATTCTTATCTTTGGAAGGGCTTTTCATTTTTTTTACTATGTAATATGATCTGTTCTGTTAGCTTTTTGAAATGAAGCAGTTGAACCTTTTATGGGAAGTGGCACAAAAAAGTTTGGACTGGAGTTAAGGTGGAGAGAGATTCTTTCCTGTAAAGATTTAGAAAATATTTTGCAAAGGTTCATTTTTCCTGGGAGAAAATGCATAGGGGATAAAATTAATAAAAATCTAAATGTCAGAAAGTCTGGAAAATAAAATTTGTCTCTGAGATGAATTTATTGAATAAGAAAATCACTTAAACTGTTGCTCTCCTGTTGCATGTATCATTATTTCTAATGTAACGGTACCCAGAGATTCCAGTCAAAGTCACAGCCCTTTGTGGATTTTACATAAATATTAGTCCCTTGCTCTTAATTGTTAGTAATGACTTTACTTTCATAAAGAGCATTCAAAACTGTCAAAGCACTTAATAGTTAAATCTCATAATAAGTCTCTGGAAAAAGTGTGTAAACCTAACTGTAAAACAAGTCAGTAACTGATGTGGAGACTATCTTAAGCACGTCTGACATTGTGTTGTTTCCTGCAACCAGACAATCATGCAAATCTTGAATGATTTAGTATTAGTCTATTGGGGTATGTGCTCCTAAATGATCAATGCATTTTGTTTATTCTTTTTACAATAGGTCAGCTCTTTACTGAGAAACTGCTTAAAACAAGAAAACTAAGGTGTATACCCTGAAACAGGATACAGAAAATGCTGTAGGAAAAGTTCCTCTGGCTCCTGTCAGGAGAGTAGATATCTCTGGTTGTACTCTTAGGCTTTGCCCTCTTATTACTTTACCTGTTTTACTTTTTTGTTTTGCCATCACCTCTTCCTCTTCCTCTGGGTTTTCATTCCCATAGACTTTCCAAGTGATGTTTGCATTGAAATGTTACATGTACGTCCTGCTGTGTTCACCTATTTGTTGTGTCTCAGTCAAAAAGAATTGCCAAATCTTTTGTGCATGGATGTATTATTTTTCCTAATGGCTAGAATATTTCTGAATGATTGGTGAGTCAACATTAAAGAAAACATGCCGAGAGATCACAAAGATTGGATAACATGTCAAGCATTCACTGAATATTGGACATTCTTTTATGAATTATAGGTTAGTCCTTTTCTCAAATAAAGTACACGTACAAGTACACATCTGTACTAATTGCTGCTTTCTTCATTTACAGATGCAGAGCCGCGGTATTTGGTTTCAGTAAGACCAGCACGCGTTTCAAATAACAAGAAATCTTGTTCAGGTATTTTACCATTACTGCATCTCTTTCTTAAAGTAGGTAAAGTAAATCTTTTACTGGGTTTCTCTGAAAAGATATTTGTAACTGTAGGTGTCTGACTGGGATGCACAAATTCCATACGTGGGAAGGTAAAATGTAGGACACTATTTCCTAGTCAGTAACTAATCACACATGTGGTGTTCAAAACATGAAGAAGTATCTAAATTTTGTTCTTGTAAAAACTTCTTACAAATGAGAACTGAAATTTAGAATACTAATTTCTGATGTTTAAAGAGGTCACAAGTGCATGCAAAAAAAGTAAAAGTATTGAAATACAGTGACTTGGTGTATTGAAGTTACACTTCCTAAACTACCAGTAAAGATTCCTTCATCCATGGACGTGTTAATGCTCTTTGTTTCTCACTGGAAATGGTAACTTGTGTGTGGGTGTGTGTATGTATCTGTAAATCAGTACTACTACTAAGTTTGCTGATGCAAGGAGTTAAGGAAAGAGGGATGTTTCTAGCTTAAACTATACATAGCAGAGCAGAAATCTGAATTTGATTCTTGTCTGTTCCAAAGACATTCTATATGACCTTAATCATGTCATTAATATTGTTAGTTTCTAATTCCTTACTTAATACGGAGATGACTCTCAGGATCACTGGACTGCTGCAAAGAATAAACTGATATTAAATATGTATATGTTTATAGTTTGAGATCTTTATATGAATTTTTTTCTAATTCCTGATAACTGCTTGGGATTAATTTCTTCTTGCTCTTGGCCAGACGTAAAACAGTATGTCTGGAAAGACTTTGAAAAGTGATTTACCTTTCAGAAGCAACATATCTCTCTCTCTCTCTCTCTCTCTCTCTCTCAAAACACAAAACAAAAAAAATGCCCAATGCACTATTTGGACATTATTAATTTTTCTATCTACAGTCTACAGAAACTAATCGGTGGAACAAGATTCAGATAACTGACTTTTCAGTCCAGCAGACAAAGGTGTAAGAACAGCTATTGGTTTAGTGCTAGCTAGATATATGCAAGTCTTTTTAGTAGTGAGAATAGTAAAACTGTACACATTACCAAGAATTGTGGTAGAGTCTGAGTCGCTGCAATTTTAAATTTACAAATGAAGACTGATTACATTTCTAGAAGATACACTGTAGTTCAAACTGCAGTTAATACAGGGGAGTTGTATGGTTTGTATTCATATAGATCAACATAGATGATCACCAAGGTAATTCCTGGTTTTACAGTGTATAAATCATTGCAGTCTCTAATTGGGAACTAATGGCATAATAAGAGTCATAATCAAAATCATATGTAGGTCCTCCCAAAACCCAGTATGATTTCAAGTTATATGAGAGCTTTTTTTTTCTTTTCCTTAAAACTCACGTTTTTTCCATGTTTCCTCAAAAAGTGATCAAGAAAAGGATTTTGCTATAGATAGCAGATTTGCCAGATAGTTTGGTGAATGATCAAGCTGTTTGTTTTAATTTTTTCTTTAAAAATTGAGAAAGAGTATAGGAACTGGTCCAGAAAACAAGAAAATTATTCAGACGTTTGCCCTTGTGGAAGTATCATATGTTCCATAGTATTTCAAAGCATGTCATACGTCCTCTTAAGGGTAGAGAGTGTTTTTGTTTGTTTGTGGGTTTTTTGTGGCAACATATTCATGATCAATATAAAGTAAAAACCCTCACAGTTAACATTTCTAAATGAACACACATGCGTTGGTGGAAAGTACCAATCAGACTTTAATTGGGGCTTGTCAACTGAAGAGGTATTAGGTTTCAAAAGGCATGAAAAGAAAGTTAGTCAGACCTGTTTCACAACAGTGAAAAATATAACCCTTAGATCAGTGGCTTATAAACTTTTGGGGAATTTGTGGTCACCTGTACATTTTGAGGACATACAGATCCTTTAGATTTTTTTAAATATGTAATGCGATGTAAAGAATATATGAATTTCCTTTAACTAATCATATTTCAAACACCAAAGTTTGTCCTTGGGCTTGTAGCAATCCACAAACTACAGGTTCAAAATAGTTGCTCTAGATCATTTCTTCATTTTCCAACTATTAGCTTTTAAACTTTCTTTAAAGTTAGTTCTTTCTCCACATGAGAGTTGTGCTGCTTCATTCAGACCAAAGTTAAAGGTAACTATCATGCAAAAGCTGAACACTTTGAACGTAGTAGGTGGTTAAAAGACAAAAATGTCCCCAGATACAGACCTGACTCAGATCTGCCTACAGTTAAAAGCAACAGAATTTTTGTAGATTTTATTTTACTCTTGACGAAGAATGTTGTAGAAAGTATGAATTATCTATTAACAGTGCAGTGTTACTAAGAATCCTGCCAAGAAGTTACTATTTCTGTTACACACAGAGAGACTTCCTAATGTCCTGAGCTCTGTGTAACACCTTCTGTGATGAAGTCCAAGTTAGCCAGAGCTTTGAAGTTAACCTGCTATAGCTTATTCTCATACTAAGCATACCAAAACCACCCACTGTTCATTTTCAAAAATTAGGTTTAACTGGAACATAGGCTGAAAAAAGAGAAATACAGAAAACTTATAATAAGACAAAATTGAAACAAAGTTTAGTAAACAAATCTCCATCCTACACACCCAATAATAGCAAGAATTCCTTTAGGTTTACCCTGGTTCTGCAAGTCTGGAAATGAACTCTTCCAATTTCTTCCTAGGTTGAAATACATGCTGTGCAAGTCCAGAGGGGACCTAAAAAAATAGTCTTTCTGAGGCTTGTGTATCCAATACCTGCTTTCTAAAGCAGTCTCCTAATCTGTGCTCCTGCTGCCTGCTAGCTGCATCCTCCCTTTCTTCCCCCTCCAAAGTGCCAACTTTGTTCTGCACTTCTTTCCTCTGCTTCAGAGGAGGAGCAGTCTCCCTTCCTTGCAGATGTTTCATTTGCCTCAACAAGAAGCCAACAAACAGGTCACAGACACTGTCTCTGCCCCCTTTTTAAAATCATACATTAGAAATTGTGACCGTGAAAAAGGGAGAAAACTGTTGTACCTTTCCCTTCAAATTTAGAAGAGTACTAGGTCTTCATTTACTTTATTATCTAACTGCAAAACTTTCCCCTACATAATGCAGGAGAGAGAAACTAACTTGTGATTGGAATTATATGTTTCTTATGTAGGTCGGACCAAGACACAAAAGCCTCTGCAGCTGGTAGTTGGCACTCTCACCCCAACCTCTGTGTTCCTCTCTTGGGGCATCCTAGTCAACCCTCAACATGACTGGACAGCAACAAGTAACTGTGCTAGCGACAGGTAACATAACAGAAAAACGTTTTTTATGATGATCATGATTTAATTCAGTGTAGTTATCTGGTGTGGCTGAAATAAGTTTGACAGTGGAAATTAAAAAGTTGGAAGCGATAGTTCTGAGTGTGAAGTTTTCTCATTTACTTAAATTAGTACTTTGCAAGCCTTTACTTGCATTGAGTGCAAATTTAGTTGGACGTCTACATGCTGAAGTACAAATCTTGCTATTTCACACTAGATCCTTTGTTCTTCTTAAACCAATGGCCTTGGCTCTACCTTCATTTGTATCTGAATGAATTGAAAGAAACTTTGTTAAATCATAGGAAATATATTGGTTTAAAGTTGGTAAATAGAAGTAAAATAAGTCTTTTGCAGTGCTGTGGTAGGAGAATGCTGTTTTAATGCTATTTGATTTTTTGTTTCCTGTATTTAGTCCTACCACTACACTGCTTTCCTGATATTGATACAGTACAGCTTTCATTAATTTTCTGTTGTAAGTAAAAGAAGATCTCTTCTAGTATAACATTTTTGATTTGCTTTAATTATTTAATGAGTGGTACAGTAGGTGGGGAGATCAGGAAGACTCACCAAGTAGCAGTTTCAAGAGAAGTCATAGTGCTGGGTAGCTTCTCAGTTAAGTGCACCATTACATTTTAGGCAACTCTTGGCAGATGAGTAAAATTCATTTGCTGCAATTATTGAAATTGTTAATACAGATGTTTTCCCTGCTCTGTCATTTCGGTGTTCTCTTTGTATTCTTCCTTTTATGAGAGAAGAATTTTTTTGTCTTCATTTACATCATGTGAAGCTCCATTCAACTCAGCAGTGTTTTGTAAAACAAAGAAGAAACTTTGTGCACCCATGTTTGGGATGCATCTACACCTGGTTTGCAACTATCATCTTTTGTGTTTGCAACTATCATCTTTGCACTATTGAAAACACTTCCCTATCTGTCTAATTTTTGTCTAATTTGTAGCTGTCCAATTTAGACTTGAATCTCTTTACTTTGGTGTTGATAATAAAACTCCCATTGATAACATTAAACTGGATGTCAAACATAGATTATGTTAAAAAACCCATCCCATGTAGCCAATATGACCTTTTTCTTACCTCCCAAAAGTATTGGACTAACCCTTTTCAAGCTTCAAAAATTTCTCATTAACAAATTTGGATCTTCACCACTAACCAGAATTTCAAACGCTACTGAAAAAACAAGATTAATGTTTATTAGGAAATTGTTATGGAATATTAGGAAATGTCCAAGCATGTAATTTCATTGGATTTTCTTAAGTAGAAATAAAAGTTGGTTTAAGCTTAGATTTTGCACTCTTAATCAAGAAAGAAGCAAATAGTTTCCTACAGTTAGAAATCGAAGAAATGAGCTGATCATGGAGGATCCTATAAAGTGTTCTGCCCACATAATGATTTTAGCACAATTTTTGCCATGGAACTTATCTTCTCTACGTGCTGTGTCAGCACCAAAGTTACAGCACCCATTGTGCAGTGGGAAGGAAGAACACTTTAGAAGAAGCGTGTATCCTGTATTAATCCACCTGGAGATTCAAAGCATATATTCAACCCACCACAATGCCTTCATCAACTTTGGGTTTTCTCCTCAGTAACTGAATATTCTTGTTGGACATTCATTGACTCAAAGCTTGAACAAACTCTTTAACATAACATGTAATGTTTTCCACTTAGTGCAGTGTTACTGCTGTCTTGCTGTGTTTAGAATATATTCTATATGTTTGCTACTCTAGTATGAGACTTGCTTTTACCACGTCTTTGTGTCAAGTAATGGTATGCATCTCCCAGAATTCTGGTTCTTTAGTTAAGTGTTGTTTAGCCCAGTTAGCTGATTCCTCTCAGGTGTTTACTTTTACTGTGCCCTCCATTTAAGTGAAATGTTTTCAGGCTGTACTAAAGTACCACCTATGTATTTCCCTTTTGCCCCCGTAAGAGGACTTGCCTGTAAGAGTTGTCTTGTTCATTTTGTTTGAATATCTCCCTGTACTTCAACTCTAAAGATACACTGACACTCATGAGTAGCTAGTTTAAAAACACTTAAATCGAATTACAAATGGTCATATCAAAGTATGGGTATATATCTACAAGCAGATTTCTATTTGCAATCAAGCATAGCAATAAAGTTAATGAAGAAAAAAAAAATCACTTCAGTGGTGCTCTTATTTTGTTTCCATTTACTGGACCAAAATGCTTGTGATTTGTATAAATTATGAGAACTGTTCTCCACATGACCATGGTGTGTATTTCTGTAATTCCAAGCAGAGATTGGAATCAAATATATTTCTAGTTAGTGTATAGAAGAGAAATTATTAATTTATGATAATAATTTGAATGATAATTGATAATGTATGATAAGAAAAAATTAGGAAGTAGCCCATCCTTAGCAAGTTAGCATCGTGTTAAAAGTACAAGACTTAAAATCAGATAAGGGTTTCATCAACATTTGTATCTATTGCAGGGGCAGTCTACTTCACTTACTTGATCCTTTTTCATCTGGCATGTTCTCCTTACTGTGACATGTTGAATCGTACTGTTAATCATCCTCGAGATTCTTGTATAGTGACTAACCTCTGATCTTTGACATTGGCAGTATGTGGCAATTATGACCTCTTAACTCCATTCTGTCGGTTAATATCCCACCAAGTTTTAGGTTTGTAACTCTGTATGACCTGAAATGGAGACACTGTTCTCAGCCTCAGATTTTACCATCTCCGGATGGACATTAGGCTTTTGTACAAATGTTGCATAATTTAAGTTAATTGAATACGTTACTGACTCAGAAGATGAAAACCATATGGAACAGCATGGATCTGTTGGCCAAGATTTTCTCTAGTGCGAGTCTGACCTCAGTGGGGATATTCCTTAGAAGATCTGGTTTTGTGAGCAAATGAGTTTTGAAAAGAGGTGCCACGTTCTCAAAGAGCACTGGTATCTTTTATTGCTTCGGTGAAATTATTGCTTGCTTATTGAGGGCACATAGTGTTCTTCTGTACATACAAAGTGCTTTTAAAGAAACTCCAATGAAGAAAAAGTTCCTGGGCTGTTTTTTGACAAACCATTCTTTGGTTGCTTAAGTCTCTAGAGACTAAGGGCATAAGCCAATAGAGTGCTACATATTTCCTGAAAGATAACCCCAAACCCAAATTCTGTGTGGAAGAAAAGAATATCACTGCCATTTGTGTGGACCAAAGTTCTTTGCAACGTCAAATTTTAAAGCCTCCTTGAAGTGGCTATCATCTCTGGTCAGAGCCTTAGCACTAGAATGCAAAACAAAGCAAAGCAAAACAAAACAAAAAGACACAACGCCCAAACCTCAAGCGATTAGGTTTATGTAACTGATGAAAACTACATAACACCAGAAAGGTTCCACCAACAATGTGGAGTTAGCTTTCTCAGCATCTTCTGTTTTCTGATGCCAGTATGAGGTAGTTGATGAGGGAGGATGGCAAAGTCATGGTACCCTGCTGCACAGTCATGTTCGGTTCCTCTTTTTATATTTCCAAGAGAGTAGAGAGACTTGTTTTCCTCTCTGCCTTTCAATGTTCAAACAACCATTAGTGGACAGAGCTGTCATAATAAACATACTGAGGCTATGTTTACTGTCCATTTAGGTCTGAAAAAGAGAGTATAGACCATTGTATAGACTTTTCTTGGCCTTTCCTTTGGTTAAAACGACTCCACAGATCCCAAAATGGAGCAGGGGGTCAAAAAAGGTGGAGTTTGACCTTCAGTTCTTTGGGCAGGGGGAGTCGGGGGAAGGAACAGAAAATGTTTTTTCCATGCAATACAAAAACAGGGTTTGTAGATAGAATACTATATTTTACTTTATTGAGTGGATTGTATAGAAAAACAAACATGCTTTCAGATACATGTGAAATAGAAAATTAAAACCTGAAGGTATGGGTTTTTTTGTGAAATATATCTAAGTTAAGAATTTTGGCAAATCTACATTTATGTGAATAAACAATAAACAATTGTTTAAATTTGTTTGCCTGTGATTTAAATGTCCTAATGTCATATTTGCGAGTAGTACAGGTTTTGTTTTACTTAATTTGTATCCAATGCTTTAAAAAAAAGAAAGTAAGAAAAATAAAGAGAGAGCAAAAAACAGAGAAGAATCCATACTTACTCTTTATGTTGTACAGCACATAGAAGTAGGGTTTTTAAAACCCTAAATTCAGAAAGATATGTGCATGCATCTCCTTTTGTGCCTATGTACAAATCTGTGTTACTAAGCAGCTGCCAACTTAATCATATTTTGTGTTGCAAATGTCATAGAAAATGTATTTTAAACTTAGCAGAATTTCTTAAGGAAAACATACTGCAGCAAAGAAACTTTTTGAGTTTCAGATGCTTTTGAGTTTCTGCTGTGGGAGTATATGCTGAACGCTTGTTTAAACATGGAAAGATTTGTTGGTGGTCAGCCTCTCATTCTTCAGAACCCCTAACTCTTCAATTCATTTCAGTCATTCTACTAAAAAATTTAAGTAAAAAAAGTGAACTTTAGTGATCATGTAAAAGTGAAAACTAAATTAGAAAGTGCTTTGCAAACTTAACTGGTAGCCATCAGCGATGTAATTCTTTCCATCTTTTTATATATGTCAGTGTCTGTTACTTTAAAGTAAACTTGGTAACAAAAAGGAAACACTATAATCCACTTCATGTGCCAATTTGTGAAACACTCAGTATCTGAAAAATCATAATTCAAACCATTTCTTTTATTACTTTCTAACACTAAATGGATGCTGTGCTTCTAATGAAGTCTAACTATAAACAGATAAATGTATGTGTATGCTAATAGTCTTTTTTTAAAAGTCTGATTACATTCCTATGCACAAAAGTGCAATACGTTTTATAATCTTTTATCTATGGCAACACAAAAGCACAGAGCAGGAAATTCTTATATCTCCAAGGCTTAATTGTTTGTTTAGTGTTATGTGTGACTAAAATAGTCATGATTAAATTGTTTGGAGTTTTGGTTTGGATCTGGTTCCAAATAAACCCATGATATTTATACAAACTGACCTAATCTGGAAACCTCATAAAACCATCTGCCTTATAAGATTTCCAGTATCTAATTGTTTGTACCCAAATATTTGACTGTGCAAGCATTTTCTGGGAATCTGGCTGAAAAGAGATTTGGTTAACAGTTGGAAAAATAGCACTGGAATTCTTGGCAAGACGGTGTCATTCATATTGATATATGAAAACTTAAAGTTTTGCCTATCTATCCTAGAATTTTGCTTCTCTTAGCAGTGAGCGAGATTTCCTTCATTTCAAAAGCAAAAACCCTGTGGGCTGCTTCTTTAAAATGGTCATCATATTTTGATTTCTTGTGTAATAAAAAGGCTAGCTCTAAGCTGAGAAAGAAGAGGTTTCACTGCCTTGCATTGTGGAGTTTAAAAAAACCAACTATGTAAACTGAACGTAGAAAGGATAGAAACATCCTTTTGTATCAGGCTGATAGTCTTTTACACAGATTTGCAGATATAGTAATCACTATGGTGGTTGGCCTATAGAGTAATTATTGTACTCTTGTGGCTTCCTTTAAATGATAAGATTGGTTTTGCTGCTTTTAGTTCTGCCGTTATTTCACATTTTATGTGCATCATAGGTGGAGGCAAGTGAAGTCAGAATATTGTAGAATACTTGAAGCTCTAGTGTAGAGAGAGTTTCAAGAATGCAAACATTAAACATATCGTGGTGCTGCACAAATGCATATGGAGAGAGGCTGTCTTGGCGAATGTAGGCTCTTTATTTCTTTCCCTTGTTGTGTTTCTTTTTTTTTTTTTTTTTTTTGGCTTCATTACAGCAATTAACTCTGCGTGGAACAGTATCCCTCACCTGCTCACGACACCTTCTGTTTAAATTGTTGGAGTTTATTATCCTTTCAGTTGTCTAGTAAAAAGGAGGGAGGTAAAATTTCTCTACAGTCCCCATGGTGGTTTGCTTGGAGGTATCTTCTAATGGGTGAAACATTGCCTGTTAGGGAGAGAGTGAAAGAGATTAATTTTTATGGAGCTTAACAAGAGGGGTCTAATGTTTTATAGAGTGCTAGCTGGAAAAGAAGTGAAGCGAACCCTGAAATCTTTTGATTAGTATTTATTGTAAATAGGAATATAGGTGCTATTCACTAAACATTGTTCTGATAAAATGTACCCTTTTCATATCCCCCACCAAAACAAATAAAGTATCAAAATTAAAAGCAGTTAAATATTGCCAGGTCTTTGTACATGCTGAGAATCTAGATCAAAATAAATTCTCACCCAGTGTAACTGGGTGTGCCACCTCCTTGCTGAAACATCAAACTAGCATTCACAGCTGTGAATAGCATTCCCGGGACTGTTCCAATTACACTTTACTTGAATAGTGTATTACTTTAATATTAGTTATTAGGGCCCTGCAGTATGCAATCAGTTTTTCACATTGTTACCTCACAATGGGAAGTGTTTTATCTGAGAAACGGTGTAGTGTACCTTTCCCCTCTATGTGAATGTGGCTGTGCTCCATTCCAGCCTGCCTTCTATCATTTTTGGGGGGAATCTATGGAGAGGTTTCTCTGAATGTTTGCAATCCAGGAGAAGCAGTTTTGCAGCTTCTGATACACATAGCAGGCCAGCTGCGCAAATTTTGTGTGTGTATGTCACTACCGTAAGGGGACGGATATACGTGAGTGGTGACTGGATTTTACTGCTTTCTCGTGTCTTCAGCTATATGTGTTGATTGTTTGATACTGTATTTTTTCTGAAAGGAAGGCTTGAAAAAGGGAGAAATTAAAATGACAGGAAAATTTAATCAGTAGAATGTTCTCAGGCAGGCACTGAAATTGCACTGTGTTTGGCAGATTTTTGGTCTGGTTTAACAATGAATTGTTGTTCTTTAACGACAAAACTTGGCATTTCTGAATTCATACTTTGTAAACAGAAGATTGCATGTTGTTTACAATTTGGATTTTTTTAATACTCAAACAATTGTGACTTGCAAATTTTTAAATGGAACGTCATTTTGGTTGCTTTTTATTGAAATGGTTGAGGAAATTCTGTCATCACAGTCAGTGTTTTTAGTACTAGTTGTGGCAAGTTTCCACTGAAATAATTACACCCTTGGTGAAGTTTTTACAGGCTTGGAAATCTTGGAGTTGAGAGCACATTTCTTCTATGCTATATGTTTCTATTTCTAATTGCACAGTTTGGCACAACTATGAAAATCTTCTTGTCAGATTTTTTAATAGCCCTGAATTTTAATGAAAGATGTTTTTTTGACATGCAAGTGTTCTCAGTATTTTAATTGATGTTAGGGAGAAGGAATTTGCAGGTGTGGAGACAGTATTCAAAAATAGAACATTTTCTACAGCAGAAGCAAGTGGGAGCAGCCACTTAAAAGCCTGTTCATTATGAACAAGTTTTTGATGGGGATTTTTCCTCCTCGTTTCTGATGCAGCTATTCATTTACACTGTTAAATAACTGAAATGAATCAGTATACTCTTTTCTTTCCGTCGTATACAATCACTTTATTTCTACCCCATTCAACTAAAACAGGTAGGAAAAAGTAAGGATGAAGATGAAAACAAATGAAATTTCCTCTTTCAGGCAAGCTGGGAAGAAAGTGACTACTTCTACTTGTGATTCATATTTTGATCATAGATCTATCTATACCTATTCTAAATCCCTTACCAAGAGACTGTATGGGGTCTAGCAAGATGCATTTATGTTGCAGATGGGATTTGTTTATTACTATTACATCCTTCGCAAGATAGTGACAGATTTCAAGTAAGCTTTTCTTGTCTGTTAATGTCTGTGTTACTATGTATGAAAGGATCAAGAGGATAAAGGAGAAGAAATTTTCCTCATTTTAATCTTGCCAATAATTTCTTGTTGAAAACATTCTTTGTTGGTCCAACTGATAATTAGATCTTACATCGCTTGACATGAAATTTGAGTAGATCCCAGAAGTAAGGATGCAGATTATTACTTCGTACTCCAGGAACTGATAAGAAGAGAGAGGATATTCACTACTTATATTTCTTTCCTTTACAAGGTTTGGGTTAGACTATGGCTTGTTTTGAACGCAAAGTAGTACAGCTAATGAAGAGAGTTATGTGAGCCAACATAAATATTAATTTTGTAACCTGGCAGAATACCTGAATGAGCTGAATTATAGCAACTAAAACAGGAGAACCTATATTTTTGGTGCCAAGAAAACAAGTTTGACAGTTATGAGATAAATTATGTAAACAAAGTGAGTCTTTGTGTATGAAAATATTTTCCATGATTGGCACTTGTCAGGCTTAGATTGTGTTTTAATAATGAAGTGGGAATTTCCCTGTACTCAACAGTCATCTTTCACATATACTCTACTCTGGAAGTGCTCTTCTGTAACTTTGGCAAAAGCAGCTTTATGCATTGACAGTATTATAGTTGGTCCATTAAGTCATTTTAATCTAGACCTTTGATACCTTTTCAGTTGATTAAAGAACTTTTTTTCATTGTTTTCTTAAGGTCCCTTCCTTTCTCTCCATATATTTTCCTATATAATACCTGGATTAAATCACATAACCCAACTTTCTTTTTGCTTCTGAATGATTCTTGGACACGTATCTGGGGTTTTAGAGTTATGTTTGTTTTATGGCCTTAATTTGCTTTATTGAAGTGTGGAAAAATACAATTGGATAGAATTCATCCTTTTTCAGCTGATGTAAATGTAAGATGGATATGGACAATGGATATGCTTTATTTATGTTATGTGTAACAATTTTCAGTAATACTTGGATTTAAAAGTTGCCAAATCTCTCTGAGATTTGTTTTTACAAAAACAGAAAACCCCACCCCATTCTGGCAGTGATACAGTATGTATATTCAAAATGAGACTGTAGCAGGCAGTGGAGTTCTTGTGCCGTAACTCACCATTTACATTGCGTTATTTTATAGTGGTTAGCATCACAGTCATACTTTTTCAGGGTGGTGCTGCTTGATTGAATTGGGCAATTTCTGTAGAAATGTTTTTTAATTTCATAATCTGTTAGCATTCATCGCGTTATTGATTTAAACTGCTGAAAGTAATGTCTTGGTTTACTTTCTCATTTGAAGGGTGGGCAATACATAATGGGATCACTGAATGAGGAATGTATTATATAAATGTCAACTATTACTGGTTTTCCCTTGAGAATAATTTTGGACTAATTTTGAGGGGAACACCTTCCCCTGGATGGATATAGAAGATTTTGAGAAATTGGTTGAGGCTTCCTGACTAATAGACTCATGATTCAATTGACTGGTTCTGGCATATGTCAGAATCACAGAAACTGCTTGCAAAATGAGCTTGCAGTTTGTGGTCAGAACCACACACACGGTTGGTTATGAATAAGGAGACTGTTCTTTTGCTCTTTATATAATACTCCTAATGTCGGGGTCTGTATGATTGGGAGCATATATGTATCTAGGAGATGACAGGGCTAGCACTACCTTTGCAGGGAAGATACGCTGGCTTTTCTGATATTTGATAACCATAAGGGGCCAGAAAGAACCAGAACAATGGTGGGTAGAAGTCATTTTAGTAATTCCTAATGAAAGTGGTTGTAGTGAGTTTCTTTGTGAAGAAAATTTTTTTGTTGTTGTTGTTGAGCAGGTTCTATACAGTTCGCTACAGAGAAAAGGATAAAGACAAGAAATGGGTTTTTCAGCTTTGCCCAGTTACAGAGACGGTGGTGGACAATCTGAAGCCAAACACACTTTATGAATTTGGAGTTAAAGACAACGTAGAGGATAGTATTTGGAGCAAGACTTTCAACCATAAGACAGTTCTGTCTAGTAAGTATTTGGCAATAGTTAATCAAATAGCTACTCAGTTTGACAGTATTTTTTCCTCTATTGTGGTATTACTTAAAGTAAGCTACTGGTCATGTTTTCATTGTTTAAATGCTATCCCTTATGCCCCTAATAAATTCTTTTAGGAATTGGTGAAGCTAGAAATAGTTTGTGTTTGAAAAACTGCTACCTACCATTCTGAAAGTTGTTCTCTTCTCATTGCAAATAGTAGAGGATCTGCTGCAGGCTGGTAGAACTCTAACAGTGATTAGTTTAGATACACATAAAGTGTTGAGTACGTATGTTTATACTCCTAGCTGGATTCCAAGCTTTTTCCTTGGGCCTTGAATAAGAAGATCATTACTAACTTGAGTTGATGGAAAGTATTATCCTTGTCTGAATCTTCTTTTATATCTGCTTTTACGTTCAAGCTGGTTAAAAGCCAGACAGGGCCTCTCCTATCCAGCATGCAACACAATGGGCCCTTTAAGACTCTGCTGGAAAGTTGAATTTGAAGCTAATTTTCAGTCAAGGAACTATCTAAATTGTGTTTGAAGCATACACTCTCATGTATGCTTTTGTTTGGATTTTCATGAAGGTGGTGTATGGCATCTCTGGCTATTCTCTCAGTCATATTTTAAGCTTCTTCTCCAAAGTCCCAAGACAATGCAGGCAAAGTGACATCAAATTAACCCTTGAAAAAACATGTACTGCTCAAAGAATCACTGCTATCAATGGAGGAAATACACAGCAGCAGAGACTTCCTCCTTTTAAAGAGAGGAAGAGAGGACTTAACAGACATTGTCCAATTTCATTTATTTTCCTCAAGCATTTACATAAAGGTATTTCTGAGCGTGATGTTGGTCAGAAGATGCTGCAAACTCCTATGCTCAGTATTTCTAGCTTGACTCGAAATGTGAAGAATGGGAATTCTCATAAGAGAGCCTTATTCATATGAGATTTCCGGCTGAAATTTGATTTGGACCTCAGTTTCAAGTTGTAGGCGCATTACACAGCTTGATATACTTGAGGGTAAGGGAGGGGAGCAGTAGGGTGGCTTGTAACACTGCAAAAGCCCTCATACTCCCTAATAAAGAACTTTGCTGGCCTTCATCATAAATTAGAAAGCTGTAACTTTGAAGAACCTGCCCAGTGCCCATAGAGTCATTTTAGCAGTCCAGAATAATGCCATCGTTATACTATGAGCTTAAAGTGGAGAATGGTGGTAGTCTTTTCCCGTACCTGCCTCACAAAAAGAAACTCTGCTTCACAGGTCTAAAAAAGGCTTACTAAAATGGCTGGTTTTCCTACATTTTAAACATTTTAAAGTCATTTGTAGAGCGAGTGCTGGAATATATTTGAGCACTTAAAATAGGAGGGAATGAAGAGTGCATAGTCTTTATAGTGTAATACTTTGTTCGAGACTGATTGAAATGTCCACTGGCATCACCAAATTTGCTCTTTGTATATAATGTATTTCTAAATGCTGTTTCTTACAGACACTATACATTTTTAATAGGCCAGAAGAATCATTCTTGTAAGTTAGGGAGATAGATTGATTTGGATTGAAAGATACTTTCTTGTAAGAGTTCATATTCTATTTAGATAAGATTTCTTTTTCCTAGAATGTAGACTTGTGTATTCAGTGGGTGCTTCTGCAGCAACTAAAGCCAGGGAGCTTGCTATTACCCTGTATGTCTACATTCTGGTCTACTGATAAAGTGTCTTGTAATTGGAAAGTTGACAGCACCTTTCAGATTCAAGTCTTTCATATTGTCAGTGCATAGTAGGTAGATACAGAAACTGTGGGCAGTAAACGGAGAGTGAACATTTATTATAAATTTGTAACCATCTGTCTGCATAGGAATTTAGCAATCAGCAAAAATGGCCACTTTTTTTTCTGTTTTAACTTACTGTCTTGTAGCAACTCAAGGTCTTTTCATATATTAAGAAGCATCTCAACCTAAACCAAACATCCTTCACTGTAAATTTTCTTTCCTCACGGAAGAATATATAAATGACTATACACTGAAATTCCTGTTGTGTGTTCTTGTATTTGTTGAATCCACAGGCCAAATTTTTGTTATATACTAAACATGTTGGGAGGGGTTGGGAAGAGAATCTGTTTTTAATTCGTGATTTGAGGAAGACACAAAAGGCATGGCAAATGTTCAACATTTATTTAACCAAAATTTATCAAAAGAGATGAAAGTAGATTATTTCTGACCATCTTAACATGATTTTCTCATGAAGTCAGTATGAAACTTTTGTCAGTTTTCCCTTGTCTTTAGGACAATAGTAGGTCCTGTTCCTGAGAAGTATTAAGCACTTTGAAAGATTTTTTTTCAGGATAGCTTGTCAACTGAAATGTCTCTCAATTGATATTTCTTTATAGTTGATTTTTTTTCTATTGCTTATCTGTTTTGGATGGAATTGTGAAGAAATATGATAACATTTAGCTTGATTCTTGTTTACACGCCTGTCGATGGAAAGGGAACAGAAAAGTGTAAAGGTGGACTATGTAGACAAAGTTTGAAGCATCATGCTAGAATATAAGAGATGCTGGGAGGGCCTGTTTCTCCTCTGTACTTAACAGCTGCATCACAAGAAGCTTCTAATACTAAGAAGCTAAGAGGAAAAACCTAAGAGAAAAATTTCAGAGATTAAATCCATGGGTTACTTTGTTCATATGTTGAGATAAAGGAAACCATGTCAGACCCAAAGAGAAGTGATATGCCTGTTCTGTATTGCCAGTGCTAAATGTGTATTTTTTTAGAAGAGTGCACTTAAAAGCGAGACTAACTATTGGAGACCTTAAAAGATGCTGCTTTTAGCCAGTCCTAGTACCAGCCTGACAGATGGGATGCAGAAATTCCTCTTTCAAGTTTCTTCCTTGCATATTAGTCTTGTGGTTACATTAATTTTATTAAAGAATCCTCTTAGGCACCTCTGACTTCTCCTTAGTAAGTCCCAAAGACCACCTCAGCTCTCTTATCCCTGTTGGAGGAGAACAAGAGTACATTTCATTTCTTCTCTATCAAAATGTGAAGAGGAGGCTTTGCAGATGAATTAATTAAACTGGAGAAACAGGACCAAACAAAACTGTTACATGTGTTTTTCTACCTTGTAATTAATCTACCTTGTAATTAAGTCTTTAACTTTCATAGCTATTGAAAAAGGTGAATAAACTTGGTTTGCTTTGCTTTGGACAAAACAAAAAGTAATTCTGTGTATTTATTCCTCTTTCTGTCAAATCAGATAAAAAAGTAAATGGACAACTCCAGAATATGTACAAGTTGGTACCTAATTCCCAAACACAGGTATGCAAAACAGTCTTGTTTTTTATACCAGATTTGTATTTTGTATGGTCAAATTTTTGCTTCTCTGTTACAGTAAAGTGAGAAAGAGATTATGGCCACATATTGCCAATATAAAAAATCTGTTAAATCTAAGACTAGATAACTGATTATATATGTGGATTGATAAAATGATTGAGAACTGTAGCTGAGATGATTACATCTACTGATTCCGGTTTAACAAAGATGAAGCTGATGGTTTCCATGTGTAGATTCTAAACATTAAAATTTGCTTTTCCCTTTGTAGCAGCCAGGTTTGTTAACCTGTGATATTTCTGGTGGTCAGTTCATTTTGTGATACGGTAGTGCTGTTATTTTATAGAGTAATCTTGTGTATACCCAGGTCTTCTAAAATCATTAGTCATCCCATTGAATTCACTGACAATTCTCATATATGAGGCAAGTGTTTACAGAACCAGAGGAAGCTGGAAAGGGCAATTGAACTTGCTTATTGAGATTGCTAGGCAGTTCATTAAATCCTTGCAGGTGGCAAGGTAGAATTTTTAACTTTCATCAAAGCATTTGAAGATTTTTTTTTTAAATAAATAAATATCAATATTTATTCATTCCATTTTTTTTTTCCTCGTCTGGCATTGCCATAACAGCTATCAAGCAAGCATGGGTGGGTTTCATACATTCATGGATTTACATACACAGATACTTTTTGCTTCCAAGAGCTGAAGCAAAAATGAAGGATGTGTAGATTGAACCCGGTAGTAGACTAGCTTTAATACAGTGAAAAATAGACATTTTATTAATAACTTCTGAGCATTACCTCCTCTTCTATGAGATCAAATTGGTTTCTTCATATTTCCTTTCCTTCATTTTTCATCAAAGTGCAAGTTTCAGCAGCTAATCTTCTGGGGTTTTTTTGTTCTGCTTTGTTTTCAAGGTACTATCCATGAGGTAGACTATGGGATAACTTCCCAAGAAAAGTTGTAGAAATCCTTGTTACTTCAGACATTTTTAAGGGATGACTCACACGTGACTATTGTAAGGGAGCAATCCATTCTTCACAATTCTCTTCTGTCTCTGATTTTCCAAGTGTTTTCATGGTAGGAAACAGTCATGTATGGTTTCTCATTGTTCATTCTTCACATTGTACAATACTGTAAATGGTCTGTAATTATCAGACCTGGAATTCCTTCAGGAATCAAACCACAGTCCATTACATACATTTTCTTGTAGGAATAATTAGGTATTCATTTAGGACAGTAATACTTTAATTATAACATTACATACAGAGTTAGAGCAGTATAATGCTTAGGTTGTTGGAAACATAGTCATATCTCACACTCAAGAGAAAATGTTTTATCTGTGAGTAATATGAAGCCAGTTGATTAGATACTCAGGAAGTGCTCATCTCATTATGTTGTTGATGAAATCAACTTTACTGTTCTTCCCATTGGTCTCATAAGCATCTTTAAAGTTACGCATGACAGCCCAAGACCAGGTAATTCATTCTGGCATCTGGAGTGCAAGCTGAGTTCCTTTCTTCCTCTTAGCAAACCCTGTGTGCCAGGACCCTGACCCTGTTATTCTGCTTCTGTGGAAGTAGGGATTCTATTTATGCAAGAGAAGTGCTGAGAAAGTGAGCTAAAACAGTTTTCCAAATATTTGCACAGCTTAAGCATGAAAGGAGGACTGGAGCCAACATCTAGTCTTTTTAGTCAGCTTCACAGGGCTTAGCTCCAGAGCAGTACTGCTTTATCACCCTCCATAGAAATATCATGAAAACATTCCATAGATTATTCTAAAAATTCTCTTATCATTCTCACTTTAGTGGTGCAAAAAGTCATAAAACTAAGGCTGGGAAGCAGATAGTGGCCAGCTTTTAAGTTTACGTTATTACTTCAGTTTCCACAGTATTAGGTGGGGTATGTTTCAGTGGTGCAATCGCATCATCAGTGCAAAGCCAGAATGAGTGTTATTTAGGCCAAGCTTTGTTTGTGCCTTATTTTGCTCCAAAGACACAACTGGCTTATATCAGCATGGTTCTAACTTCTCTGTAAGGAGACATTTTTAAAGGCTGTTTATTAAAGCAACATTACCGATCCATCTAGTCATTCTGCCCTTTCAACATCGGTCACGTACCAGCTTGTGTTTCTTTTGGCAGGTTCATCCTTTAAGTTTGACTAAGCTCCTGGGGCTGTGTGAGCTACAACTAATGAGAGGGGAAGAAAAGGAGAGCTCTAGGGATGGTCATTTTTTTTCCCTCCCTAAACAATGGGTGGTGGTAGGGTGGAGATTGTGCAGTAGAAATTTATTTCCTCTTCTGTCTGATTAGGTTCCTGTAATTTCATAATGTCAGTCTGAAAGGTGGGGTCCTCCTCAATTTTTCCAGCCAAAAAGTGGGACTCATAGCTTCTATCATTTGTTAAACTCTGTAAGAAAACGTGCCTGCTTCTCCAAAACTTATCCAATCCAGGTTGACTGTGATGCTTCCTTGAGGAGTGTCTTATATGTATGCCAGTTATTTGTGGCTTTTTGGAGTACTGGAATATAAGAGAGGCAGAAAGAACAAGTGTCTCTTAAAGTAATGTTGCCATATGCCATTTGACAGAATGTCTGAGAACTGCAGTCCTTTATGCAATATGCCATAGGTATATGGTCAGAAGTTAAGATGCCTGACTTATGGTATAACTTACATCTCTAATTTTCCTCTGAAATTAAGAAATACCTTATTTGCCATCTTCATTTATGGAGATGCCACAGTCTTTTTAATAACTAATGTTCCTAATACCTATATGCTCTATATTCTCTGTCTGGAAAATACAGTTAATAGTGCCATTCCTACAGATGACGTGCTCGTGTTTCTGAAATAGTTTGTCCAAGCAGTAAATTTTACTAGACATAGAAATATCTAAAGTAGTCACTTTCTGGAGACTAAGAGAGGATTGACAACATGCTGGTAGATTTCAAGTGCAGCACTTGCAGTTTCATGCAGGTGAGCCATATAATTACAGCAGCTGTGGAACATGGATTTCATGTCAATGATTTGTTCTTGAGTGAGAAACTAAATTTTGAATGTACTTTAATGTATTTAGCATTTTCATATTGCTGTCATTACAGTCATCCATTATTATTCAACAAAGAAAGGATGCTTTTGTCAATATAAGAACTTTTTACTAGTAAAAGGACTGATTATAATTATGATTAGAAGTTGCGCACTGGAGTTACACGAGTGCTCACTACAACTTGAGAGCTGTTTATTTGATTGTAGGGCTCCTGATGAGAAATACAATAAAATGAACACCTTCTTCCAATAAATGCATTTCATCCCACTTGTTAGTCACATGAATAGCAAGGTTACTTCAAAAGCTGATCATGTGCAACACAATTTTTTCACTAGAAAGCAAAATAGAAATGTAAACCTTGTTAATAATAAAGGAAAAATAGTAAGCAATAAAAAAAGGAATATTATTTTGTATCCTTCATTAATGACAGTGATTGAAACCTCCACTTAATTTCAAACCATGTTCATGCCAATGCAAAACTGTTATTAGGAAGCAGAAAGTAATGGCTTTCATAGAATAAGCAGCCTCCATCCACTTCCCTGAGGAAAGGACCATCTTTCTTGTTGAGATTTGCCTTCTTGCAGCTTCTTAGGCTTTGGTATGTGTTTGATGTGTATCCAACCATTGCTTTTAAAGCTTTTTTTTTTAATATTTATAATAGAGCAAAAATAGTTATCCTTAGGTAAATAATTAAAGCTTTGTCATCAAATGCTGAATTTTCATGCAAGTGTTCTTTCACATGAAGTAGACCAGATGTCACAAACGTTAACTGATTCTGAGTTTAGCAGTGTGCATTTAACAGAGACAGGTAATTGTTTGAATTATTTTCTTTCTTGTAACTCAGATATAACTGAAAAAAAATCCACTTTTAATGTATTTAGTATTTTTATATTGCTGGGATTACAGTCTACCGCCTCTCATCACCTGAGTGTATTATTAAGCTTTCAGAAGTTGTTCCTAGTACCCACGCGTGGTAGTGAATACTGATTTATAATCTTTGGGATCAGCTGTTTTCATTACAGTCATCCATTATTATTCAACAAAGAAAGGATGCTTTTGTCAATATAAGAACTTTTTACTAGTAAAAGGACTGATTATAATTATGATTAGAAGTTGCGCACTGGAGTTACACGAGTGCTCACTACAACTTGAGAGCTGTTTATTTGATTGTAGGGCTCCTGATGAGAAATACAATAAAATGAACACCTTCTTCCAATAAATGCATTTCATCCCACTTGTTAGTCACATGAATAGCAAGGTTACTTCAAAAGCTGATCATGTGCAACACAATTTTTTCACTAGAAAGCAAAATAGAAATGTAAACCTTGTTAATAATAAAGGAAAAAATAGTAAGCATAAAAAAAAGGAATATTATTTTGTATCCTTCATTAATGACAGTGATTGAAACCTCCACTTAATTTCAAACCATGTTCATGCCAATGCAAAACTGTTATTAGGAAGCAGAAAGTAATGGCTTTCATAGAATAAGCAGCCTCCATCCATTTCCCTGAGGAAAGGACCATCTTTCTTGTTGAGATTTGCCTTCTTGCAGCTTCTTAGGCTTTGGTATGTGTTTGATGTGTATCCAACCATTGCTTTTAAAGCTTTTTTTTTAATATTTATAATAGAGCAAAAATAGTTATCCTTAGGTAAATAATTAAAGCTTTGTCATCAAATGCTGAATTTTCATGCAAGTGTTCTTTCACATGAAGTAGACCAGATGTCACAAACGTTAACTGATTCTGAGTTTAGCAGTGTGCATTTAACAGAGACAGGTAATTGTTTGAATTATTTTCTTTCTTGTAACTCAGATATAACTGAAAAAAAATCCACTTTTAATGTATTTAGTATTTTTATATTGCTGGGATTACAGTCTACCGCCTCTCATCACCTGAGTGTATTATTAAGCTTTCAGAAGTTGTTCCTAGTACCCACGCGTGGTAGTGAATACTGATTTATAATCTTTGGGATCAGCTGTTTTCTTCCTTTTAATAAATGTAGGGTCCATTCATGTGTTCCTCATTTTCGTGGTATCAAAATGCTGGGAAAGATTCATGCTTAGGCAAAAAGTGATCTGGGTCAAAGACAAGTGAACAGCAGAAAAGTCCAGGTATTTAGCATAAAAATGTGAGAAGAACATGGGTGGCTGGCCAATTATACTTTGGAAACAATTTCAACAAATAAAATGATTCTGAGTTAATCTACTTTAAGCACACTATGCACCCAGGAGTGCTGATAGTTTACAAATGTACACCTGGTTCTGAAATAGTTTGTGTTCTAAATATACTATTCCTGAGAATATAATTATATCCTGTGACCAAATTTGTAATTGCATATGTTTCAGATGTTTTGTTGTAGTTACATTTCAGCTTTTCTTAGCTTTCTGGGCTAGTCCCCAGTGAGTGCTCAAGAGATTCTTAGAAGAAAAAAGGATTGGGGATTCCTGAGCTGTCAAATACTGTGTTTTTATGGAGCAAAACATCTCAAGCTGAAAAAAGGAGATCAAAATGCAATATTACTATACTAGCCCATGGGAATTAAAGCAATAGCGTAACCTTCAGTGACTAGGGCCAGAGCCATATCCAGTGTTAACTTGGGGCCGGCGCAGTATTGGATTAGAGCCCTCTATTTTTGTTACTAATAAAGTTCAATTACTATTATGGCAGTTATCCCAAGGCTTTGTTTTTTTTTTCCTTCTTGTCTCAGCTTACACTGCGTGATAATAAGAAGTTGGTCCCTGTCACAATAATCAAACAAGGTAAATTTGTATATTTTTTTAATTGATTCTTATGCTCTGCAAGAATAAATTAAAATTAAAATGAAAAAAAATTCTGACTGATGTGAATGTCATGAAAGTTTCCTTTTATAATAGGTGGAACCTTACAAACTACCATATCCTTTAATTACAAATACTATTAAACTGTTACCTATCTGTGTTAATAAAATGAGCTATTACATTGCATTATAAACAATTACTTAGTTGAGTCATTGAATGGATACCAATCAATTCTGATCGCTGCTAGTATCCATTCTTTTTCTCTTTCAATTGGATTGTCCAGGTATGTTGATCTCCAGCTGTGCATAACTTGATAGTCAGGCATGAAGGGTAGCAGTATGGGTAAGATTCATGCTACCAAACTTTTTCGTGGGTATCTTCAGCTAAGTCATTGACTTAGACTCCCTTCTTCTCCTTTTCCTGGTCAGTGGAGAGAGATATCTACAGTAGACTTAAACATATTGCCCTTTAGAAATGCCTGTTTCTCTCTAGTAGTGAGAGGCAGTATAGTAGTGTAATCTTTGAAAATTAAGTACTTAAAGACAGCTGATAGAAAATGAGCTGCAGATTAAAACTTGCTAACAGAAATTGTATTGTGAATAATTTTAAGTAACAAAATCAAGCAAATTATCTTTGGAGGTAGTTCACAGTTCAGGGACAGGAAAACACTGGAGGGTGGTGTGAAGGCAAATTACAATAATTACCATTAAAACATGACTGCAGTGGCATTTACTTCACATGAATCTTTTTTTAAGACTTGTGAATGGCAAGGAGCTGGCCCTATATTAACATAAGCATAGAATGTCATTTTTCACCAAGGATATAAAACTGATGTGCTAGAGGAAAGAAGAGATGCACCGTTAAGAGATGATGTAGAGGAAACACAGTTTGCAGTCTCTTAAACTGAATGCAAATAGAGAAAAGATTAGGATGGTGTCCTCATCTCCAAGTATTAAGTTGAGGGAAGGTTTTCAGAATGCTGAGGCTTGTATCAGGTGTGGTTTTGTTTCTTGTTTTGGGGTTTTTTTTAATGATTTTCTAATACCCCTGTGTTGTCTCCACAGTTATTCAAAATCGGACGCAGTCAAAAACTTCAGATAGTTCTTCTCTGCCAGGAGCAATATTAGGTGACTAGAAGATATTTTTATTATTTTTCCTCATCTTTGCCTGAAAATTAGAACTGTGTAAATACTTTTAATTTTCTTCATTTTGATAGTCCTTTCCTTGCATATCAAAGGGTATTTTGCAGCTGGTTCAGACAGTAATTGTTATATTTTATGGTGGTACAGATGGTTCAAGGATGATGTAGCCTAAGGGAAATAGAATCTTTTTATTGTCATAGTATTTAAAAGAAGATGCTGTCACTGTTTAAGCCAAGAAGTTCTTTCATACTTCAAGTAAAGTTCTGTGGCAAAGATCTTCTTGAGATCAGGGGTTGTTCTTTTTGCTTTTTTAAGGTAGTATAACATGCCACCTACAGAGACAAACCTGTACTGATATATTAGGCTATGGTGATGTATATTATAACCTTCCTTGCAATTAGAGCTTGATGTTAGATCTCAGGGCAGAACTGTTTCCCTCAAGCCATTCAGTTTCATGCTTTCTGTTCTTGTTTGACATATAAGAATACACAATATTGGCTTAGAACATAAAAACGGTAAAGTCTATCACATAGTGCTTAGTGTGGTGAACTACTGGTCTGCCTGAAATAGATAGGAAAGGCTCATTGCGTCATGGACCTTGTGATCAATTTATTCCTGGATTCAGGAAGTCATTTAGTCCTTTTTATATATATATATGGAAGTACTTTCTATAACTATATAACTTTGGCTTAAGTTTGCTTTGTGTGAGTTTTAATGTATTGATGTGAATCAAACAGATACTTACTAACCGCATTTGGTGTTGAGTCTTCTTGGCCCACCAGACAGAATGTCCCAGCATCTGTGATACTGCAGTACTCCAGGGTTGTATGCTCCAGTACTGAATTGTTTTCAATTCTGCTTAATTGTGAAATGGTGGTAATACAGTGAGTGGTATAAAGGGGAAATAGCACCAAATGGCAGTGATAATTACTGAATAGAACTAACTCATTTCCCAGATACTCAGACTGAACTCCCAAGGATTCAGTAGTAGTCGCTCACATATCTCAGAGGGCAGACTGTGTATTTTTCATCTCTTCTGGAATTAATGGTACACATCTTTCTGTGTAGTGCACCTTATTGTTCCAGGTCTCAATGAAACTCAGCAGAAACTTCCTCCTCTCCTGACAATAGATGACATACCTCAAGCATCCAGGAAAAAACTGGGTAAGCAGAAACAAACTAAGCTTGTGTTGTTTATGAGCAGTTTCAGAAGCGTAGCAATGTGAGATATGTATGCAAGCAGAAAAGTCCTTTTTTTTCCTCTCTTACCTTCTTTTTTTCTATTTGTTTAATTAATGATTAGCTTGGACTTACAAGGATTCATAGAAATTCACTTATTTTAAAACATCTGAACAGGTTTTTTTAAGGTATTTTGCAGCCATTTAAAAGAAAATACAGTAGCTTTGATCCATAGAGGAAAGAAGGGAAAGCAGTCATGTTTATGGTCTTTAGGGGTTTTGTTTTGTTTTACAATGTAACTTATTTCTTTCATAGGTTATATCTCTCAATATATGTCTTTAAAAATGGAAATTTGTGTGTCCATTTGAAAGACCAGATTTTCAGTGAATTTCAATTATATGAGTTCTGGCTTGAGTATATGTGAGAAATTGTTTCACGAAGAGATTCTTATTTATTATCTGTAACTAAATCCATGAAAAAATGGTAGCCAGAAATTAGAACATTTCAGTACAGGTTTCATGTGTATCTTGTGAATGTGCCTGAAACCTGCAGGAAAAAGATTAATTGAGGCTTAATTAGCATATCATCTGTGAATAGCATAATTGTGGGAAATACAACTATCTTTAAAAACCTTAATAATGCTCCCAGTGCATCTTTCACAGATCCCTTGAGTAGAGTTCTGGAGCTGATGACTTTTGGCCTGGCTAGTCTTAATACTTAATCTGAACTCTGACCATCTGGGTCAGAATTTTTCCTTTCTTATTTCCGCTTTGTTTAATTTACTGTCACTCCATTGCTGGCCATGGCACATTATCAGACTGGCTTGCTTTGCAGTGAGAAAACAGCAGTGCTTGTTCCTGTTAAGTTACTATGTAAGTTTAAGGGTAGAGCTACACAGTAGAATAATATTTGAATGTGTTTGAGTAAGAATATGTTTGAACTGAGGCTGAGTTCCTTAAAAATTAGTATCTGGAAGTATTTATCAGCATTTGACAGACAAATGTTATTAGCATCATCTGTGGCTACTGAAAATTTAAGCTAAGTGGAAAAATTTAATTGCAGTATTTACATTACAGAGCATTACTGGTTTTCAATCATGATGATAAAATTAATCACATCGTTAACTTGATTACTAATACTGTCTTTGAACAGCAAGCATAGAAAACAAGGTGTTTATCATTACTAGCTTGTTTTAGCATGTGTATGATGTGCAGGTAACAAAGGTACCATTAAAACTCAGTAGACCATATTTTGACAAATCCATTCTTCATAACCCTTCTAGTAAACCATATTTTAAGACCTCCAGTATTAGCTTTGGACTACAGTATCTAGAACTTTTATATTTGTTTTCATTTTCTACCAGCAAAATTATATCTTTCTGCAGGAAAACAATGTTGTGTTTTCAGATAGGTCAAGGTTCAGTAGTGTGTGCAGTAAAAATAGTAGAATGTGACTATGAGCAAAAGATGGGGAAAAAGACAAAGGTAGCTTCAGTTGTCCTAGAGATGTCCAGTTACTCAGCTGGCTGAGCATAGAACTTGGACTTTTAAATTTAAATGCTCTGATATGTTCAAAATAGATAGCTAGTGTGATGCCAGTTTGGAGCCACTCTTTATGGTAGATTACACAAACACCTTTGTGAAAATAACGAGCGCAGACAAGTGATGTTTTGTTCTGTTCTGTTTACTATGTGTTGCTTACCAGAGAACGTGAAGTACATGTGTGTACACACAAGGGACTACTGGATTTCAAAGGAGTGTAAAACAAAGTAATTGCTTGGAAAGCAAGAATACTCTGAGAAATAATTTAAAAGTGTAAAATAATTGACAGAAAGACATATTGTCCAAATCTATATAGATATCCTTCACTGATGCCCGAGAATGACGTGTGTCTACAATAACATGCAATAAGGCTTATGCTGTGTGTGAAGTTATGACTAATTATGATTTGCTGACATACTGCAATTATTCTAATTCTCTATTATTTAGAAGAGTCAAAATAATGCCTCACAGAATATCATATTTATTGAATTCTCAAAATATTTTTTTTCTGTTTACTTAGTCAAAAACTTACTAGTTTTTTTTAAAAGAGTAGTAGTCCAGAAAAAAACCCACAAAACATAATGCCTGAGTCCTCAGTGGGAAAAAAACCAACAGGTGTATTATTCAAGTCAAAATTAATTAATTTTCCCTATATACGCTGCTGGAATATCTTTATAGCTTTTGGAATAGAATGTTATTGTCATACCACTGTAATTGTTAGAAGTAATGTAAAGGAAAATATGGACATGACTAGTGGGAGAATTCCATTGTATTTGAAAATTTATTAGACTATTCTTTTATAATGCTTAGAACTATAGTACATCTTTGAATTTTGAAAAGCATTTTTGCTGTTACTGCTCAAATGCTAGACAAATGAAAAGCACTGAAAACTACTTTCACAGTGCAAAATAATGATTCGTAAGGCATTGAATTCCTTGCTATAAATTTTATTTTTAAAGACTCTTTTAATGAACAAAACAATACCAAAAATGCATGCGTTTAACATCGCTAGATAGATGCTTGTACTGATTGTGCAGTGGAAGTTCATTGATTCCTAAAGGCATTCAGCTTCCCACATTTATCCATGTTGGTTTACTTTGGCAAACTGAAGTGGGACAGAAATAAATTTGTAGTAGAACAAAGCAGATACAGCTTTGCAATTACTCTCTAATGTCTTTGTCCCTTTAGCTAAGAATGAAACTCGAGTATGGCCTGCTGAATCCAAAACACCAGAAGTTCAAGAAATCTCTCCACAGTCCCTCCCAGGTAATGAAAATTCCATTTTTAGAAACTCTGTGGAATATCTTTGCCAAATATATAAACTAAAATTAAATCCATCTTTGTGTTGCTTAATCTGCAGTTAAAGGCAGTAGTTGGAAAACAGGAGGATAATGTAGCTGAATGGTGGTAGATGTGGATAAAAATCTGAATCTAATTTTGGAGGAAAGTTTCAGATACTACAATTTTTAGGTTTATAAAAACACTTAGAATTAGAACCATATCTTTGTGGGGTGCTGGATACCTCGAAATTGTGAAAAATGGCAAAACGAGTTTTCTTGTGATGCACCTCAAACTTCTGACTTTCATGAAATATATGAAGAAGAAAATTAGGGATAAGAGCATGATTGTGCAAAATGCATGCATGAGATTAAGATGGAACAGTCACAGTAACAAGCTCTATTTCAGAGATGCAGAGGATGACAGCATGATGTTCCATTTAAGTTCAGTTTTGAACACATTAATCTTGACCACACTCTCTCTGTGGACTTACTGGTCCTATTAAAAGTAAATGGGAACTGTTCACATACATGGGAAAGGAATATAAAATTTGATCCTAGACTCATATTCTATTATGAGATGTTATGTGTCTGTGAAATGTATGTTAACTTGTATATTTGGAAGACTGAAGTTTTTTATCATCTACTTGTGGCTGAAAAAATATTGCTTATTTAAAAGGGCATACACAGGTGCTAATTTCTTAAACTGTTCACAAACATGAAGTGAACTTTTAAAACTCGCAAGATTTACTGTCTTCGTTTGCTTAGGAAACAAGTTAGTGTAACATAAATAGACTACTTTATCAAGTTGTATGACAAGTATAACCCTGTATTTTAGCATTTGCAATCTGAAGGCAAAAAGATTGGAGAGAACTAAATTGCTCAGAGTCAAATGATGAAGATTGACTTTCCACCCACTTTATCGACCCACATTTTGGAATTGTTGAAGAAGACATATGCCTCTCTTCATTTTCTGTAGTCTGGCTTTTATTCTATAACTGAGACTGAAGTCTTGACTCTGCTGTCACGAGAGACAATAGTTGGCTTGTGCCAACTTCTTTGCTGGGAGAAAGGAGGCTTGAATGGTGGCAAGACTTCAAAATGAAAAAAGAATTTGAGGAAAAAATACAGTGAAGGTTTGCTTTGGTTTAGTTTAGTCATATTTTGTGATCTTGCTGGCGTTACTCTATTCCATCTATAAAGTATTTCCTGGCTGGCTGAATAGTGTAGCACGTTATTCCTTTGATACCACACGATTCACACAGATACTGCCCTTAAATATGACTGCGTTTATTTTATTCCTTAAGTATATCAAAGATACCATACTTCACATCATCAGACCAACTCAGTCTTTAATTAAAACAAATAAACAAATAAAAAAAGAAAACCCTCCCAAAGAATATGTAGGGAATAAAAGAGATGTAGGATGAAGTAATGCAGCAAAATCATGTAATGATTGACAACCATCTTTTAGATTAAACAATCCATAATTTTTTTTCTCTGAAAATGTTTGCAGAATTTTATTTTCCACTAAATAGATAAGTGTATTTGCCAAATTTTAGTTTTAACCATCAATTTCTTTCTGCAAAACCTTCATATGGATAGCACTTTTCTGTTCATTCTAAATATTAAGAGGAAAACAAAGGTGCTCCTGCATAGGAATTTATTATCAAAGGGGGCTCTGAACTTTACAAGTTTAGCATATGTGTAATAAACAGCTTGCTTTTAATTGGAAATGTGTGGAAACTTTTTAAAAAAACATAAAGAATATTATTTTTTCTTTTTTTTTTTTATTTTACAGTTTGAGGTCTCTTGTGGACTTAAATTCTGCAGTTATTTTACTAAATTATTTACCTTGTCTAAGTAACTGCAGAAAGCAATCTACAAATATATTCTACAGAACATTGCCATTTTGTGAAAGTGAGAACTGAATGCATAAATTTATGTAATCATCTCTCCCGCAAAATCCTAGTCCTCAGGCTTGCGTGCATCTAATTAAAATACATCATTCCTTGTGCTGGAATTTACTGGTTAATCAGGTAAACAGTGTGAAATCTGACACCAGAATTGATACATCACCTTGGGAGGAGAGAATCAGTCCATTCTGTTTCCTTTCCTTTGTGTTCTGGAATTATGTTTATGTACCTGGCATGCAGTTGTTCTAACCATAAACATCATCATCTCTAGACATAGCACAGAATTATATGCTTATGAAGTTGGATAGCGTGTTTTGTTATACATGATAATAATTGGCAAGTACTGTGTTTTTAGTGACAAATTATATATAACCATTTGTTACAGCTAAACGTGTTCTTATTGCTATCACACCATTACTTATTTACTGAAATATTTAGAATCATTTTCATCCTCCACTTCGTGCTTCCTCTGTAGCTTGGCTTCCACGTGTGGTGGAAGCACGCCTTTTCTATGGCGATCGTTCCTTTCAGTCATTCTTTGTTGATCACAGCACCAGTGTCTCATGTTAAAGTATGAGTATGTCACACTATTTACACTAAAGAATGTATTCATTGTGGTTAAAGAGAAAAAAAGAGAGAGTGTCAGGAAACAGTGAAATGAAAGTGAATCCTTTAAAAGAAAAAATAAGTTCTTCCAGTGTAATTTCTGTCTAGCCATTGCATATGCAAAAATAACTTGAATACTTAAGCATTTGAGCCAGACTTTCACAAGTAACTTAAGCGAGAGATCTGAGCACCGTCCTTCTGCAAGGGTTGCATATGAGAGACAGGGTAATATATAGGCATAATTAATTGAGTTTAGCAATAGGATCTACTTCATTGTATTTCATTCAGACTTCCCTATTTGAAGACCATGCTGGATTCTTTGAGTAAGTCATAGTAATTATTTACTGTGAAATGTTTAAGGACTGGTGCCAGAAGTGGCACAAAACGCTGATTTAAAAGGAGTTGTGTGCTGTAGCAGCCATTGTGTCATCAGTCATGCAAGAAGGGAAGAAAGGAGCTTGAAGTATTTCAGCAAGCGGACTATCTGAAAGGCTCCATGAGCTGGGCCACTCTTGTGTTCCACTGGGTCTTTGTCAAAGGGTGTGTTTTGTGACGTGATGTGGTTCAGTAACTTTTTTGGTGTATTTGTCAGCCAGGCATCCCACCATTTTCTTAATTTCAGGCCTCCCCTCCCTTGGCATGCACTTCTGTGGAAAGACTGGTTAGTAAGCTCTTCCATGCTTTGTTTTTGCCAAGCTTGTTACAGTATTTTCCACGTAGGACTAATTTATTCTTAACACAACAGCACAAGTTCATAATGCCTTATTTTTTCCCCTTCAATCTTTAAAATGCTGTCTAATATACCTCAAACTACCACTACATTTTTTTCTCTCAGTTGAATCAAGTGAGAGCCTTTTTATTAACTTCACAGGGAAACTGGAGCTAACCAACTGTTAGAAATAGCACATTTGTCTAGGACATGGAAGAACTAGTTTAAAAAAAAAAAAGAGCAACTTCTCTATTTATGTAAGGGTTTGTACGAGAAATTTATCAAAGTAGATTTGTGAAATAGAGAATAGGCTTGAAATGAAAAGTACCACCTGTGAATCCAAACTAGGGTTAAAGTTTAGTAGGAATAACTCCTTTGTTGCCATGTTTCCCAAGTTCTGTTCCTCCTGTCCTCCTTCTGGCCCTTGAAGGTTTCCCCCTTGTGCTCACGTGGGATATGAGAAGGAGTGAGATTATTGCTTCCATCAGAATATCTTAATTCCAGTTGTGGAGAAAGAGAGGAACATGAATGAGAGGGTCAAGAGAAGTTAAAGGAAAAATAGTGTAAGAAATGTTGCTGAATGTATTCTTGCTGTTTTCCATGCTGTGATAGTAAAGTAACTTACCTTGCTGGTCGTGTTAACCATTTACTTTGCAGCTACCATTGAACCAGCACATTACGCCTGGTTTACCGGATGCCCTGGAAAAGTCAGAGGCATTTCTCTCTTTTTCTCTAATTTAGCTTTTAAAACCTAAACTTTCTGCTTCCTGTATCTATTTTTACAAAAATGTCTCCTGTTGTTTCATGTCATCCCTACAATGTTCTGTGCAAAACAGAGAGCCTGGTTTCTTTTGTCCCAATTCTAGGCATGCTTTTTCTTGTTCAGTTTGCTCAGCTAACTTAGCTGACAAGAGACATGCTTCTTACGAGTGTAAACCATCTGACCTCTAAAAAAAAACCCCAAAGCATAATGAATTCTAAATTTGTGAATTTGCTTTTGGTGGGTTTGTTTGGTTTTTTTCATGATTACATTTCATCCATAAGAAACATTAGCTTTTGAAGTACTTCTGAGGTACTTCTGAGGTATGTTTGTTAGTTGTGGTTTCTGGGTCTCTTATGGGTGAATTTTCTCCCACAAGCTTCACAGAGATAAATTGCTTTAACTTCTCTGTAGAACGAAATCCTCCTTCCACTAATGACAGTAACGGCACTGTAACTGACTTACTAAAAGCTGAATTGCGTCCTAATAAGGCAGTGTCTGTGGAGATTCCAGCTTTTGTGGCACTGAAAAGCACGATACTCCAAAACAGAAAATAGTATAATGGTTGTAACTGTAGTAGCATCTATGTAACTAGAATCTGGAAAACAGCATGTTTTCTTCAGGAAATGAAATAAGAAGCTTATAAATCTACATGATCAGTTCTTGCTTGAAGCATGCTCAGTAGATTGTGGAAAAAGCACGGAGAGCATGCTGGAAAAACAAAAGTAACTCTCTTCTATTGTATCTCAAAAAGAAAGTGATCTTTTATTAAACTGCATGAATACTAAAACTTAGTGCTATGCTGATGCTGATCACCAATATTAAAGATCTCCTCTAAATACCAACATGTGCTAAATACTGTGCAATTTGCTCTGTGGAAGGAATTAATGCTTTTATCACATTCAAGGCTGAGACCTTACCATCCTGTGTTCCATATCAATAAGCTTTGTCATTTTATAATCTGAGATTGCCAGTTGTGTGTACTGTATGACTGATTAAATGCTATGGGACCTCCAGCAAGATGGAGAGGAAAGAAGTGATCTTGACTTACATACCATAGGAATTAAATGTTATGTGAAACAGCTGGAAGAGTATAATTGTGCACTAGTTTATTAAAATATGGCCAGCAATTCAGTTTAGGTACATTTAATGGCTGTTTAATAAACTGCCCATGCTTTACTCCGAAGATGTAGAATTAGAAGAATGAATGAAAGTCAAAATCCTATTATATTATTACTGGAAAAATGAAAGAGCTAAGGCATTATAGGTGAATCTTTATTCTTTTCCTGATAATTTTTATATTAGAAGGTTTAAAAAAAATCCAGAATAGCAGGGGAAATATTTGTAAATACACTTTGTGATATAATGGATCTTGTTTATAATGTATATCATAATGAATTTGGGAGGCTGTAACAGAAGTACAGTGTGAGCTTCTGATCTTAGCTTTGCTCTTTGTGATTTATATTTTCCTTTGCTTATGTAAAACTGCAAGAAAATAAATCCAAAACATCATATAGACTTCACATCTGAAAACAAAAATAAATATTAATCATGATGGCGTCGAACTGCTGCAGAAATTATTCTAATCAGGTGGTATAAAATGGTGGTAAGAAAAGCAGCTGGCTTTGGGCAGTAGATAAAGAAAAGCTCACAGGGATTCTAAATTAAATAAAGCTTCTTTCTTCTAGCTCAGCCTGAGAAAAAACATGGACCTAAGGAATTTAAATCAACACCTAAACCCGAACTGGTGCAAACTCGAAACATACTGGGTAACTAATTTTGCTGCTTTTTACCTTCTTTGTACATTAAATGTTTTATTCATCTCCAGCAGAATTTTTCTACTACTTGCTGCATCCCCTTTGTATTGAGTCCAAAAGAAGTCCTAATTAAAAATTTATTTGTGTTTCCAGCAACTCACACATGAAATGTAAAGCAGGATGCATCTAGCTCTGGCTGAACTGTGGCTGTTATACATATGATAATTGCTAGCAGATTTGACTGGGTGATGCAATTTTATTTTTCAAAGTAATGCTTTCTGCCTATGTGATCTGCATGATTGACATCACATAACATTTCCATCAGTAAAATTAACCTCAGTGATAGAATTGAAATAATTACCTCCTTGATTTTCTTCTGATGACAGATTCATTTAGGTAGCATCAACAGTGATGCAAAAGGAAAATTTTATATTGCATGTGACATGATATAATTGTATTTGTCCTGGAGGAAAAAAGAGCTCTACTGATTTTTTCATAGAGATGTCAGAATGAGAGATTTCTGATCTAAGTAGTAGTATTGATTGTTTTGTGATTTGGAGTAGCACCTACTTACTTCTTGCATTCAGAATTCTAAATTGTCCAATGTTGATTTTGTGGCCTGTATTTTAATCCCCAAACCATGCAAAATTATGAATACAAATTTAAACTTGAGGGTGGGTTGGTTTGTTTGTTTTTTTAAACTTTGATTAGATTTTTCTGAAGCACAGATGGCATACATACAGGATGATGTATGATAAAGGAAAAGATCATCAGCATTTGCAGGACTGAAATACAGATCTTCCCATGAAGAGGACTGCTAATGCTTCTCAATAAACATATTTTTACATAATCTTATTGATTCATGTTAATGTCATACTCTCTCTTTTGTCTTTTTTAATTTACAGTTGCAAGCAGATTTCCAGAATTTATTGAAGCTAAGCCATCAGTCAATCTAATTTTCATTCTAACTTTTAATCAGTTTTTGTTTAAGCTTAATCAACCTTGCTTGGTTTTTGCATGCTTTTGAAGATTAAAATATGAAATTTAATCAAGATGGGTCACTGCTTAATTTCAAACTAGGTGGTCATAGTTACTGATGGATGTTCATTATCGAATTCCTGTGATTGATGGATCTTTATATTATGACTAGGGAAAAGGTGATTTCATTCATGTTCCACATACCTTTTTAAGTGACAGTTATGTGTTTTTTTTCTAGGTTGGAACTACTTTTTTTCTTTTTTATTAAATATCATTGGTTTCAGGAGTGAGTGATTTATAAGCCAAAATATAGTTCCATACTGTGTCTTGTAATATTCTTAATCAAGTAAAGCCTTGACTATTTCTTTTATCATAGCTTCTAATGAAATACAGCCACTTCCTTCTGGATCCAGAATCTCTGATGCTCCAAAAAGTCCATTGACAGAACTTGGTAATTACTTTCTTTGTAAATTTGAGTAAACTCCAGTGGAAAATTATCGAATTCTTTTGTTGTTTCTGTGGCTGGTAGGTTTTAATACTTCAGCTGCAATAATACCATTCCGTATGTAAAATATGGTAGACATTAGATTTTTCTTCACAAATTTGCAAATTTCTTCTTTATTTCTAAGTCTGGTTTTGCTTTATTGTCGTGACAGGGTGCTCCAGATTAATGCTTCATTTTAAAAAACAAACAAGCAAAAGCTCATGAGGATATATGGGCTAACTTTTATCTATAGAATGATGAAGGCAATTTATACTTAGCTAAAATCTGTACTTTTATGTTTTGTAATTTTCTTGGAAGTACCCCATAAGCTTCTGACACTGACTGTATTTCAGAGTTGGAGTACTGTTCCAGCCAGCATCAGTTCTGTAGGTTTTCATGTAGTTTGCCAAATACTTGTATATTTGGTTAAAATAGTGCCATAATTTGTAGATGTTGTTGTGGTTTAAATATTCCTAAGTGTTTGCTTACTTCTGGATTCATTAGTTGTTTGGTGATGAACTTCAGGACACTTTAGAAAGGCCTGATATTTGAGAAAGTATGGCACTGCACACATTTTCAAAACAGTTTTACCTGTGGTAGGGTCAAAACGTTATGGTCAAAATCTTCTTATGGGCAAAGAGGAAACACACCTTTTCTTTCTTTTTTAAAAAGTTATTTTTTTATATATACACACACGTATTTACAGGTATGTATAGACATACATATGTATAGACATATGTATTTACATATATGTATATAAGAGGAAACATACCTTTTCTTTCTTTTTAAAAAAGTTATATTTTTATATATATACACACGTATTTACAGGTATGTATATATGTATAGACATATGTATTTACATATATGTATATAAAGCCAAGAATTTATTGTTAGTGTAATGGAAATCTTAACAGTGTATGTAATTCAAGAATCATCATTAGTCTAGATTTAAATCTTACAGTAAAACAAAGAATATTAATACAGGTAGAGTACTTACATACAGAAAAAGCCTCAATAATAGCAGTAACATAATTAAAATAGTAATGCACAAACTTCTTAGTTTCTACCCTTTTTCCTGGTGTTTTGCTCACCCTTCCACTACACCTCTGGGTCCTAAGCTTGGTGATTTCATGCTTGTGTTGGTCATGAGCGGGGATGTTTCAGCAAGTTATGAGCATCGGGAGTCCTGTGCTGGGAGGAATATGATGTTCATGTTGATGATTTCTTCCTCCTCTCTTCTTTCTTTCTTCCACTGAGAGACACCTTACATCTGAATTTACCATATATGGTGCCATTTGTGTATGTTAGATACTATGTCTGTGTTCTTTTTGTTATCCCTAAAGAAAATTTTTTCCAGCTCCAGGTGTGCAGTTTTCATAACTGATCATCACTGAGCTGTTTATGGCATGGGGTCTCCGGTGCCAAGCCTAGTCCCAATCTCTTATCATCCCATGCCTGCACTCCTCTATGCCATATCCTGTGTCTCCCCTTCTCAAGACCTCTGCTTTCATAACAGGCCTGTATTTCTCTACACTGTATCATTGTGTTAGTCATAAATATCTCATTCTACCGAAACTACTTGTTGCTGCTATCTATATAAACAATTATTACACTAGTTAACTGGAGTGACCTTGAATCACTATGGATTTATATTTCACTAAGCATCAGTCAAGAAGTTATCATATAATAGTGCTGGTTTATTTCGACGGCATACTTTTACTTAATGCAGTCTGCCAAATTTTAAAATCATTTCCAGGAACAGCTCTTACTTCTTGAAATGCATATTTGAACCAAATTCTCAGGAACATGAAAATGGTCTTCACATTTTGTTCTTAATTTGCTACAACTTTTGACGGCTCTTTTCCAGATATGTTTGAGGGGATGGATATTTGTTTTCACTGTAGTGAAAGAAGTTTGGTTAAATACAGTTAGAGGCAGCATTGGAGAGAGGGACATTCGGTGATTTAAGAACCTATTTGCTATATATGTAGCTGAAAACCTGAAAATTATTAAGGATGGGAAGTATTTTTCCTTTCTGCTGGGGAATAATAACCTATGTTTGTCTCAGTGGTAAAGGTAAAATAATAACAAAAGTTGAGGCAAAATACATGTTTCATTCAAGTATTTATTCTGGTTTCATTCTCATGTCTTCCATTCCTGCCTAATAGAATCATAGAATCACAGAATCATTAAGGTTGGAAGAGACCTCCAAGATCATCGAGTCCAACCATCAACCCAACAACACCATGCCCACTAAACCATGTCCCTAAGCGCAATAGTTCCACTTAGCAAAAGTAGGATTTAATTATGTGAGGCTGGGCCCAGCCATCGGGTCAGCTGGAGTGTCTGTGCTCCCCATGAAGTCACTGCTGAAGTCAAAGACATTCTGTGAGAGCGAGGGGCGTGAGGAGTACAGAGGAGATTTCTCTGCACTGTGCCTCTGCATGCCTTGATCACCTGCTGCCATAAAATCAGCAAAGCAAGCAAAATTTAGTTTCTGAAGTTTAAGAGCGTGTGACCTGTATTTTGCCCTAGTTCCCCTGAAGACTTTTTTTCTTTATTTTTCTGTCTTGATTGTACTGGAGGGAGACAACTCCTTTGTTTTATAACTTTCTGTGTGGTCAGTATATTTTGAATTCAAACCTTTCTGAAAAGATAGCTTTGTTAACATGCCTTCAATGTTCTGATGCCTTTGGGAGATCTCTCGTAGTTCTTACTGTATGTTAATGGAATAATGGAAGCTTTTGCCAAAAGCTGTGAATCATGCTGCTTTTGTTGGTATTATTTTATTCTCTATAAATATAGAATAGAATAGAATAGAATAGTTCCAGTTGGAAGGGACCTACAACGATCATCTGGTCCAACTGCTGAGTCCAAATATATCAGGATAGTAACCTGGGATCACATTTGTTAATGTGATAAGCTGGATTGAAAGTAAATGGCAAAGAAGATCCAATATATGAAATAAAAGTCTGTTCACTTTTTGGCTTATATTCATATTGCCTACATTAAAAATGAACCCTACGCCTAGTTGAATGCTTTTCTCAATCTCAAGCAGAGAAGTTTAATTTTAAAATTCTGGTATAACTGCTTTTCAAAAAACCTCATCTTGATAAAGACCAATTAAAAGTACAGATGGAAATTTTCTCTTTCAAATATATTATAACCTAAATGGGCATAAGTGACTGGTGCAGATAAGTTTACTGGAAAGAATGGTACTTACTGGCCTGTACACACAATTGGATAGGATCTGTTTCTTAGAAGCAGGACAGCAGTGCAAAACATACACATGGTAGAAAATCATTCATGATGACCTTTAGGTAAGAATGCCCAATTCCACCTTGATTCCCTGTTTTCATTAAAGCAGACTTCAGGTTATCCATACTTCAAAGTGAAATAACCATAAGATCTTTGTACTAGTCTTCATGACAGCATAACAGATAAAAGGTGCTGTTTACAAACTTTCATGATTATTTCACTGACTTCATTGTGCTACTTTTTATCTTTTCCCATTACACCTCCTTTTAAAATAGTTACACATAATGTAATAGTAACCAGTTTATGCAGTCCTGAGAGTGCTGTGAAGATGCAATGTATTCTGTTTGGGTTGTAGCTGCTTTGCTGTGAAGAAAAACCTAAGTAATACGGATTCAACCTGATTAGATAATGTATGCCAAAGTTTGAATGGGGTAAAATTTAATAGGAAAAAAAGGTCCTTCAAACCAAACCAAAACTTGCTAGTTACAGTTAAAATTAGATTTTGTACCACTTGCAAGGAGAGTGTCTGTCTCAGTGTCATAAAACTTTTTTCATGTTTGCTTTTAGCTACTCAGAGTCCAGCCTCGAAATCTGTATCTCTACCTTCTGCAGAAACCAGAGAGATGGAGATGGGTAATCAGCAGATTATTTCCATGATTTTTTTCCATTCTCTTAGCATCATGTAGATCTGCAAATGGTAATTTTAAGATTTGCTTTAGAATTTTGGCTACCAACACTCACAGAGCTGCTTATTCACCATTCTTGTGGCTGTGTAACCAGCTGAAAAATTTATTTGTTACTGGCTTAAAAACTGCTTAAAGGCGGTGTTGTCATATCTCATCGTTAGATAATTTCTTTTTGTAGAGCTACAGCTCTTATCCCAGAAAATGTAATAAGATAAAATTCCTTGCTGATAAGAAGTTTTGGGCATGTGGAACTCAAATTTCAAGGCCAGAAGACTGTATTGCAAGCCATCATCTCCTGTTGTCATGACACAGTTATCTCACCTCTCACTTTCAGGCCATCTGCCATCTTGCTTAGCTTTGCATTAGCATCATCTGGGATTGCACAGCCTTCACTAAACTATTTGATGCGAATCCATTAAGTCACAGGTCTCAGCATTTTAAGCTCAGGTTCTTTTTTCAGCTTTTGAGGAAACACAGCCTGTTTCTTCAGGATCCAAAACATCTGGTACCACAGAATTGCAACCAACCAAATCTGGTAATGATTTCTCATAAGATTAATCCTCTTGACAGTTAGGAATTTTCAGAGGAGACATAGTGCCTCTCATTCAATAGTTTGTTCAGTTTGACATAAATGAAGAATAACTGCAGGTATGAAAGTGCTGTATCAAATAGCAGGTTACTTTATGACTTTATATGAAATATTGAGCTAGTAGTTTGGAGTTTTTTCCATATTTGGCTACAACATGTAATTCTTAGCTTTAAAATTAAATTGGACTTACAGTAAATACTAAATTTAAATAGGCCTGTCCACACCTGAGTTTTGTAAGCAGAATATCCTGATTTGCTGGAGTACTCAAGAGTCCTAATAAATGAATGGAAACTGCAGAAATTCCAACACCTTTTGAAAATGTAGCTCTTCTTTTAGCCTTTCTGTATAAACATAGACATACTTCTAAGTGCCCAGATTTCAAAACTGGCCCTATAAAAACATGTCATTGAAGATTCAGACACTGGCTAGTTGGTCCTTAGAAAATTTCTATGATGTGTTTCTCTTATTTTATAGATGAGTTTGTAAGAGCTAGTTATTTACTAGGGGCCACTGACAGTTATCCAAAAGAAGAAAAAAAAAATAGTAAGATGAGAGCTAGTTGGAAAGATTTCACTTCATTAGCATGCTAATAGTGTAACACCTGATGCATATGTTTTTGGAAGAAATTAATTTTTGAAGGAAATCCATTACTAAAGGGGAGATTGATTGCAACTGTCAGCCATTCACGTCTGACAAAAGACAGTTTATATCTTTCATTTGGTACAGTTTCTGCTTTGTCATCCTGTTTGCTTCTCCAGTTTCAGCACCAGGATATCCTCCTTCTTGATCCTTGGAATTCTAGACAAAAATTCCGTGCAGTCCCAGTTTGCTAGTTTTTATTCATAGTTTGTTCTCCTTTTTTGAGCAGCCTTGTATTTCTCCTTTTTAACTCTATAGTTCAACTTCTTTTTGTACAATTCTGCTAACAATTTGGTCATTAGTTGCATTATGTGTGCATTAATGCATGTTTTTGGAAATTGTTTTCAATTTGTACTTAATTGGTTATTGTACATCTCAGAGTCTGCCTTTCTGCAGAATATAATGTGTTAAATACTACCTAGAAGTTTCTTCAGCTCATAAAAGAACATGATGCTGTTGCATGATGGTTCTTGTCACTTCAAAACAATACAGCATGATTTTTGTTTTTATTTTCCAGCTTCACATGACTTCCTTCATGTTACTTCTACTCCCTAAACTTTTACAGCTTCAGAAATACCAGACACTGGTAGATTATAGTAATATTATTTCAGAAGCATACCCTTATGTTAGGCTGGTTGGTGCTGGAAAGTTTACTACTACTTCCATGTTGATGGTTTCAGACAGTTATTCCATAGTGCTTGCATTGGGTGTTGCCCTATGTATTAGTTTTTCAAATCCTATAACAAGCATCCTAATTCCTGGGATCAGGCACAGCACAGGTTTAAAGCAAGACTGCAACTAGCTTACAGAGCCTGAATAATGCAATATCGATCAAATGGCTGTGTCAAGAAAAGATTTAAATTTTGCAAGGCTTAAGACTGTTACAGTCAAGTAAGATATGATACTTTTTAGTGATAAGATTGTTTTCTTCCTTTCTGTCTGTTTTTCAATGTCCACATATATTTTGCTGTGATTTTTCCTATGTATTGTCTTAAAATAAGAAAGTAAACACATCTCAGGCCAGACCTTTCTAGCTAAGCTATACTTTGAGTTACAGCTTTGGAGATAGGTTGTTGTTTTTCCTGTAGTCTTTGATATGTGAGGATGCTTAAGCTTTTTAAGCATTGCTTGATCATGAACAAGTATGTACGTAAGAGGTGAGGACAATGGGGAAGGGGTAGGAGGAGGTGGAGGGGAAAGGAAAGCAGTTCATTGCCCAAGACTTCCTCTGAGCAATGCAGCTGTAGTTCATTAAGTTCTGTGCTGTATAACCTACTGGTTCTTGGCATCCCAGTACAGTTTTCAAGAGTTCAGTTTTGCTGCCCTGTTCTATAAAGCATCCTACTCCCAGGCCATGATTTTAAATCAAGTTAGTTCATTCTGTTATATGGGATACCTGGCCCCAAATCTGACTGAAAAAAATTGGCCGAAATTGAGAAACTGCAATCTCCTGAAATCACATTTTTTCCTAAATTTTCTGAAGAATTCTTAACTTCATGGAAAGATGTGGTATAAGTTGTAGAGCTGTTTTTTCAGGGGCTATTTAAGGCAAATGCATGTTAAACTATATATAGATTTTTTTTCAAACTCTTTGTGAACATTTGCACACATGGGAAAACTAGAATAACGTCTTCAGCTAAGTAGTTAGTGAGAGTATTTAAAGTACTTAGGGAAAAAAAAGGTTCATTTTGTAAATAAATTAATAATAAAAAATAATACTCTGCAGAGAAGTGGAAGGTAAAATTGCTCTCCCACAAATCTTCCTTCTTAATTTATTTACATGAAGTTATTTCTCAGGTGTATTTACATTTTTTTTTTTCTGCAGCTAGAGATACTACTGAGTCGGAAATATCCATGCCCATAATTACTACAGAACCTCAGTTGTTAGAAACGGCACTGGGTGAAATTGATAAGATGACTTTAGTTGTAAAGGTTGTCTTCTCATTTTTATCCTTGCTGCTATTTTTGGAAGCTTTGCATTGCTTTAGTTGTCACCATCCCAGTAATTCATACCACTTATTGCTGCCATTAACTAGATTCTCATCTGCACTCATCATTCATCTTTGTAGATGGAGGATGGGGACCATAGAGGTGGGTTCCCTTTAATTGGTTGGGTTTGGTTTGGTTTTCTCATTATTGAGGTTCCAAGGTGTGGACCTGCCTTTCTCAGCTTTGGTTTGTTTTTTTTTTTTCCTGTGCTGAGAGAACTTAACAGTGAGAGGGAATTAAGTGCTTAACATATATTTCTGTGTAATGTTTCTGTGAAAAGGTTGTTTTGACTAGCTTTATACTGGCTGGCCCACTGACTGTTTTCTGGATCAAAAGGTGTTTTCTTACTACCTGCAATTCTTAATGTGCTAAGATTATTACGTAGTAATAAGAATTCCCATTAGTATGAATAATTAGGTCACGTGGTTTCCACATTGACTTCCACACCAGCCTAACAGTTCGTGAGACACAGTAATGCCTAGCTGATTTGCAAGCAAATTTCCCTGTGCTTCCATTTTAACAATGCAACATTTGTCTGCTGAGTCCTGTGCTATGCATAGTAGCTCTGAGGCAACTAAGCCTTTTAACACAAGAATATCTTTTCGGACTTAGGTGAAAGGAAGCCTCTTTCTTCAAGATCCACAACATCTGGCATGCCAGAAATGCCACCAATCTCAGCTGGTAATGATATCTCTCTTCATTGTAGTTTTCCTGACATCTAGGCAGTCTCTCAAAAGACACAGCAATGCTTTGCTAAATGGAGGGTTTATTCTGACTTGCTCTGTATAAATGTGTAACTGGAGAGAGAGAGAGACCAGGTGTATCTGCTGCAACGTTTGAGAAATTTGGAATGAAATGTTGGAATGATAAGATTAATTTTTCTTATGTTTGTAAATGATTAGCTAGTTTGTCCTGTGGGGTTGTGTTCCATTTTTTTGTGAAGGAGTGTATATATATATATATGGAGGCCTTTTATTTGGAATGGTTAAGTAAGTGCTAACATGTCAAATTTGGTCACTTTGTACATTGGATGCAAAAGCTTCTTGGTAGGTGGAAAAAGATTTAGCTGCTGTTCTTAAGAATACACCATGAATTTTTAACCATGGGAAAATGCCAGTTACTGATTTGGTTAGTGAGTCATTGAATGTTGCTAGAAAAGCTTCACGTAGAAGGGACCTGAACAGAAGGGTTTCAATTTCCAAAGGTTGGGAAAATCAAAAAATCCCACGGAAATCACTAGGCACCATTTCCTTATTACCACCAAGTTCTTCATCTTTGTGCATGTTTGAAAACTATCACCAACAGTCTTGTCTCCCTTACATCTGGAGTCAAGCCCACGGTGTAGCAAAGATGCGCAGTGCAAATGAGTACACGTAGACTAGATTTTACACTGGTTTATGTATTGGGTTGTGCATTTTTTCTGTGCAAAATTAGGATAAGAGAGTATGAAGAAGTCACTTTAGTGAAGTTACTTCTTCTTCAGTGTACAATGGGATGATGGACTGTACAAGTGTAAGTGGTTGAAAGATGTGCTAGAATTCTGCAGAAAAACTGCCTTTGGTCACTTGTTTGCAAGCATTTCTGTACAGAGTCACTGTGCTTTATTAGTGCCAGGGACTGAGATTTCTGACCCATAAATGAAGGATTTGGTTGATTCTAGGGAAAAGTGAGATCAGATCTTGAATTCTGAATCCAAAGGTGGGTCTCTTGGCTCCCATGTTCATTCCGCAACAACTGTTTTTTAGGTATCTTTCAAGGAAATGTAGGGAGTGCTTTGGTGAAGTAGTCCTTTAGCCATTTTTCTACTGATGGAGAGTCATTTAGGTACTGAGTTTCTAAGAGTACTGTGTTAGTTTCAACCACGGCAAGACGGTTGCCTGCTGATTTGATCAGTCACAAGATACTGCCAGGAAAAGGCATGTGTTGCCCTAAATACAGACATTTGGGGTGTTGTGAACCGGTGCTGCTTGTACTGCCGTGGCAAGACTGTGTGGATATCTCAAGACCATTTCCATGTCTGACCACAGCAACCCAGAGTCCGGACCTGGAATCCACCTCGTCTGCTTCACTGGAAACCACAAGGACTGTGATAGGTAAATAGCCAGTGATTCCCTCCCTACGTTGATTACTTTGGCAATGCTTTTCTCTGCAGCGATGAGCCTGTTCAGATGCTTTGATGTCCTGAAAAGTGGGTCCGTGATGCAGTTGGCCCCTTATGGCTCCTTATTAGAAATTGCTCCATTTGGAAGCTTTCTGCTGCCTTTTTTGGGGTTCCACTTCTAGGTTTACTCTGTTACCTTGGGCTACCTATGCCAGTTGAAAGATAGCAACATGCTACTACGGGGAGTGATGCTGTGACATGGAAGCCTGCCCCGAGCAGGGCCACATCTCCTTGTTTATAGCTCTGTCTTGATACCACCCGTGCGACAGCAGCCTGTCTGAGGACCTGAAGGTGGTTTTTGTGTTTGATCTTAGCTACTCGAAGACCAAGGCTGAAGCCCACCGCTCCTTCCTCCCTGGCAACCCAGCAAACCGTGATGGGTAACTGGCAAAATCCCTTCTTTTTCCATTTTCCCCTTTCTCTCTCACTCCCCATCACGCCTCCCACCCCAAACCACCTGGCATCCTTGTCATCTTCCATGGAGAGTATGAAGACTTGTTGGTGCAGCCTGGCTTGCCAAAGCACTCGCCAACTTGTTCTGCGATTCTGTTGTTTGATCCCATGCTTTTTCCATTGCTGACGAGCGTTTTCTGCAGGGACTGAGTGACAGCTTGCTAGAGAACGTATTATCACACCTTGCCTTCAGCTGCCGTTCCCCTGCTTCTTTGTGTTTTGGTAGCGGGTCTTCCTTTCTCTGACCCATTCAAATACGACAGCGTTCTTAGGAAGCAAATCCCGGCTGGGCTGGCACAAGAGGACAGACAGCACTGCAGTTCAGCTGCCCACTGGGGTTTCCTGGGCCAGGGGTGCAGCTATTGGTTGCTTCTCCGCTGACTTTCAAGGCAGCTGGTTGTCATCTGCCCACAGCTTTACGTTGCCATCACCTGGAAGTGGGACTGCTCTGCTCTACTACTGCTTTTGAGGTCATGTTAGAGTTTTAAGAACGATGCCTCTTTTCAGCTTTCAGTGAACCACAGCATGTTTCTTCAATGTTCAAAACACCGGCAGCCTTTGGCGCCTGGCCACGCTGGTGACCTAATTTGGTAACGATATTTCTTGCAGATCTGGTAACGATGCAAGACGGGAATCATCCCAAGAGATATTGTTGTGCTTTTAGCTGAACTGTTATTTCTCTCGGGCCTACACTGGGGTGAAGCGCAAGTGTAGAAATGAAACGGCCGTACACGAAAAGCCGTATTTACTTAAGGCATTGGGTATGGCACTTGGTGACAATGGGTGGAGATGCTCATAGAGATAGCTTCTTTCACATTGGCAGGTATACAAGACCAGTCGTGTGGCCTGGCAGTATTTTTTGGCCCATGAGCTAACAAAGCAATACATGAGCAGGCTGGTAAGCCTACAGACCTGAAATCAAGTGCAAGTTAAAAGTGTAATGAACCACATTGTCTTGCAATGTTGTTGTGGCACTTTTGTCTGTATCAGTCTTGCTTTCATATCAGCTGAGATATGTCATGCACTTCAGGGTCTTTTCCAGGGAACTTACATTTCTTGCCTTGCATTACTAAAGAACTTTTCTTCACTTTCTTGTTTTTACAGTGGAGAAATCAGATACTTGTAATTATAACAAAACATATAAATTTGGCTGGCCTAAGGATATTTCTTTCTCTTTCCATGTCTGGTGATGTTGTCTGGATCACTTTTTGTTCTTTTATTTTTGCCATTTTTTTAAATTGGATTTTTTTCAGTATCATCATCTTGTAAATTTGCTTTCTCTTTGCCTCCCTTTGCCCAGTGTTCTTGAGCTTTTTCAGTCTTACATTCCTACTAACCTCATGGGAATTTTTTTCCATTCTACTTGTGACATTCCATTTCATTTTTTGCATCATATTTACCTGTTTTTACACATCTTTGCATATTAACCTCTTTCTTTTTTAAATTTTGCTCATTTTGCGGAATATATTTTTATGTTTCTTCAGTTCCTTATTATTCGGACACTAAACCATTGAGTCCATGGTTGCAGTGATGCCGTGGTGTGATGGTTCATGTATCTTCTAAATAATAAGTCACAATGTTTTTTTCCAGACTCACATGACTTTCTTCATGTTACTTCCACTCCCCAAACATCTACATCTGCAATATTGTCAGAGCAAGAGACTGGTAAATGACATTTGTTTTATTTCCAATCCTTGATCTTTCTTGATATTTAAGTAGTACTATTCCAATGTTTGTTACTTGTCCTGGGTTTTTAATGTTGCCTGCAATGGTCTTTCATTTGTTCATTAAGGCTTCGTGCTATTTGTAATAATTGCCAGTGTCCAGCAGTTCTGGCCTCTAGAACTCTCCAGCAGTACTGCTAGCCTCTAGCAGTAAGTGATCCTGATATGATCTGGCTATTTCAGGGTAGTATCATATTACTGAAGGGTTGGGGTGGGCGGCAGGTGGAGAGTGGTGCTGAATTTAGCAGATGAGAGGAAATTGTCGAGCTTTGATGAATTTTGGGTTGTCAATATAACAATTATCCTTTGGGGAGGGAATGTTTTGTCTTTAGCTAGAAGGCACTTTTTAAAGAGATTTGTTGGTTGAACACTTGTTTCCTGTTATAACTTTTTAAAGTAGTCTCTAATATTCAAAAGACTGCTGCAGTACAGCATTTTAGTATTTAAATATATTTTTACAGTTACTTCTGCTAATAATTTATTATTTCTTCCTGTGTATTTACGGAGAACATAGGTTTTTAGGCAGAATATGTGCATTTGTATTTAAGCATGAGATTTTTCCCAGAATGTGGTCATAAAAAATAGAGGGTTGCTGTGAGGTTCTCATCTGTGTTGCTGTTCATGCTAGGATGATTTACGCAGGTGATATTTTATTACATCATTATATCAAACATCATTCTCTTTCTGGGGGCCAACTTTAATATCAGTTGTCTTGATTCTGCAGTATACTATGCTGAGACAACAAAGCAAGCATATTCAAAGCTGGCTTCTGAGTGAAAAATCAGTTGAAGTTACTTCTTCATCTCCTCTTGATATGTTTGCAAGTGGTGTTCAGTATTGTAAGGGCAATGAGCATTAACCTTTTTGAATGCACTTACATAAGTGCTGTACAATGCTTGTGTGTCAAAGATGCATGTCTTATGACCTGATTGAAATACCTTTATTTGTAGAATTTTTGAACACGCACAGATTACATGGAAACATAGGATTGTGGATGCTCCACATCTGCTAAACGTACAGACACAGTATTAGGAGTCTTAGGAAGGATTTGGTCCTTAATTTTAAGTGCACAAGTTCAAAAGTGCTGGGTAGTATAAACTGTAAAATACTTTGAGAATATTAAGACTGTGTTTCTCTGGTCAGGATTTTTAAGTAGAATATAAATCTCAAATAATGTAAAATTAATTCAGGCCTGAGTTTTCCACTCATTTGCACTTTTGTACTCTTATTTTGTTGGTGTAGCATTAGTAGAACAGGTGGCTGAATTGGTCTGAAATCAGTTTGGTTGGTTATCCATTGTGTGCAGGGATGAGTAGCTGCCCAAGGTACAAGGCAGTGGTGTATCAGACCTTGAAGTCTTCAGTGTAAAACAGCTGTATTTTTTTTTTTTTTTGTCCTTTCAAGTTATACATTCCAGCTCGGTGCTGATGATTTTTCATTTTAATAATTCTAAAACTTACTAAATGGGCAGCTTCTTGCATTTGTTGCTGTATTGGTTAAGTGCAACTTAGTAAACATAGCTACAGAAAAAGTGAATTTGTTAGAAATGTATCTGTGAAAGGCAATGTGATCTAAAATCCTAACACACAAAAATGACATATTTCTCTATTACAATAACTATTCAAGCACCTTTCAAACCTGTTGCATCTGACAACAGTGAAGTGGAATTGGGTCAATGACCATTAACTTTTTTTGTCATCTGGACATTAGCTTATTACAACATACATACACTATTCATGTTTTCCCTAGTGTTATTTGTTAAACTTTGATCAGTGTTCTTTCAGTTTCTCATCACAGATAAATTTAGAAAAGTCTTAGCTTTTATCTATTACAGAATTCACACTGAACACAAACATGATGCAGCTGTGTTAATGCTCCATGGGTGGTACTGACAGTTATCCTGCCTCTGCATGAATGCGATATTTTTGTTCCCTTTTAAAGTTGAGAACTCTACTTTATCCAAGGTCATTTCAGTCAAATCAAACTATCTTCATTAGGTGGAAAACTTTTAGCAGCTAGTCAAGTGTGGCTTTACTGCTCTCTGCAGCATGTTCTCTCAGAACTACCACAGCATTCTCTCTTGATGTAAAGAATCGGGCTACTTAGATTTCTTATTACTTGTCCTTGGACTTCAATCAGTCATGAACGTTCTTAACATCAAGAGCACCTACTCTTCAGTTTCTCATATACCACTGCCCATAGAAATAGACCATGTTTCTTTCATGCCGGCTGCATAGTTTTTCTAACAGAAATGGTGGTCTTAGTGATCTGATAGAATCTGATATTTTTGCATTTGTGTTTTCATTAAAATATTGTCATAAAAACATAAAGATGTTTTTAAGCCATTTTCCACCAAAGGATGGTCTTTCTCAATAATCCTGTTTATATCAAAGTAACTTTGTGGCAGTTGCAGGGAAAATCTGATCCCTGGGCAAAATATGAATTTGTTGACTGTGTTCAGGAAAGTGTTTTGATACCACCTGTGTGAAGACCGTCTGCCTCAGTATCTCAAGAGTTTTGCTGTTTTGTTAGCTGTTTTGTTAGCTTCCCAGAGACCAGCTTTGATCAACATCTTTTTCTTACCTGGTAACCGCATGTATAGCAATAGGTAAATAGCACATACTTGTATTATAGTTTCCACTTTCTCATCACTGCCCTGGACTGTCGTAAGACCACAAGTCATCATCTTTGAACAAAATGTGTCTGTCAGGTTTCTTGTGCAATGCTTTCATGTCAACTGCTTCTTTTTATTGGCAAGTAGAAAGTATTCTGCTCAGACTGAATAACTGAGGAACATACTCGTATATTACTGTAAGCAATTTTATTTAGATTTAGTTCTTATTTGAAACTTTCTCTACCTAAGCTCTTCAAAAGGATACAAATTCTGTGTCTTGGAAATGTAATAGATATGAGAATACCACTCTGATAGAACTCACGTTGTATCCATACCATAGGAGACATCAGCTTGGTTGTTCTTCTGTCAGTCATCCTACAGCTGACTCTCAGGCCATTTACTGTCTTGATTTTTATTTGTATCATTGTTTCGTTTTACAGAATAGCTTCTGCCAGCTAGGTACTGTGGTATTTTAGTTGCTTTGATGCCACTGCAACTTTTAAAACTCAGATTCTCTTTTCAGCTTCTGATGAAACACAGCCTATTTCTTCAAGATCCACAACGTTTGCTATTCCAGAAATGCCATCAA